TATTCCGGCTCTCCTTCTTACGATGTGAGCTCACCGTCTTCAGTTAACCGGAGAATACCGATCGGAAATCAGGATTACTATTCGACATTCCACAGTACGCCAAACCGGAAGAAGATGTCGAAGAGAGAGTATGAAGAATTGACACAAGAAACGACACGGGAAGCAATGGCAGGACTTGCAGCTTCTCCAGGATTCAGTGATTGGTTAATTGAGCATGCTGACAGAATCAAGTTGCTTCCCACTGATAGCTATGATGACGAATTGGGTAGTGAATCAGATTCAACCGGCGAACAGTCCTGGACAGGTTTCTTCTGGTAGAGCATATACAACACCTTCGAGGCAACTCTTAACTACGGCATATACGGTTTATCATTAACTTGGCACGTATCAGAATGTTGTAAGTTCTTACAGCTTTCAGAGAGTTTAGGGGATAGGTTTAGGACTTAGAATCAATCTTTGTAGAATCACAGTTTTCCAATTTAAGCAGCTCAGGTGCATTCAATTACTTAATTATGTAGTGATGAAATTAGGTCCTTTAGTGGTTGTTGGTTGAAAAAAAAAAAACAAAGTTGTATTAATCTTTCATAATTGATTGAAGTCTTGTATTGAGTCAAAAAAAACCTTGTGTCTTTTAAAAATAAAAGAGATCAAATCTAAACCAAAACAAATATTTACCTATAATTTTCATTCGGTTCTATAATTTATAAACCAAGACATCCCAAAAATCCTGCTTGGAAACAGCGCACAGAACCAATTAAAACCAAAACTATGCAGAAACCAAACCGAATGTCAAAAGATGAGAATCTGATTACTTTGTAAATTTTGAATACAATGATATCAACTAGATTGTTACAACATGTCAAGGCTCAAAACAAGTTTTGCTTTCAAATTTGATAAGAGTACTCTAACATGAAGCTATCCTCCAAATCCAAGCTTGAAGGTGTTTCTTGCAAAAGAATGTCCATAACAAGACAATTCTCCAGTAAACGACTGATCTAGGTGATGAAGAAAAAGGAGACAACTCGAAATGATCATCCAACAAGCAGAAAGATTCATGGAACATTGTACAGAGATCAGTTGTAAGGAGTGGTCTTCTTGCTCATCTTCTAGCAGAAGCAGACTCGTTCGTCATCTAGGAGAACCATATTCAGGAAAAACTCGTTCACTAAGGGCATATATAGGGTACTTCAATTTAGAGCTCTTCACCGATATCTCATCCTGCACATTGTTTTCAAGCATTATTCATACTTGAGAAGAAATGGAAACAAAACTATAGCTAAAGTTAGCTTGACATCAAAATAAGGAAACTTACAAACATTCGAAAAGGGTGTGCATCAAGCAAAGTTTCCACTTCTTCAGAGTTTGGTGTTAGAGTAAATGCTCCTTTGTTCCATTAGAGTCACATCACAAGAATTACTTTGCAGAGATTCTGCCTTGGAAAGTGCATACAACAAAACATTCCCTTAGAACTGGAAAATTGTGCATCCTTCTCTCCATAACAAGAAAGAAGGCTAGACATAAAGCAGATAACCATCGACTTAGAAACCTAAAACAAAAATAAAAGAAGAAGCATCCTTTTACGGGGTTAGCACAAGTCTTACTACAGAATAATTAGGTTGTCAAAAGTTCCTGCGTAAGTAAAGATACGAGTTTTAACATCTAATATCTTGGAAAGGCCCTCTCACCTTATAGAGACAATCAAAAAGCATAACGTCGTGGTTACATTTCGTACTGCAGCTTCTTTTTATAAAAAATTCTAGAAGACCACAAAGAGTATTTGAACCAGATTGCATAAACAACAGGGCATTTGGTCTAGTGGTATGATTCTCGCTTTGGGTGCGAGAGGTCCCGAGTTCGATTCTCGGAATGCCCCATTGAATTTTTCAAAGCATTTGTTCTAAATGCCAGCTACATACCCCCATTGACTTTTTCAAAAAGATTTTTCCCAGTTCTTGTTCAACAATGCATGAACAAATATATTCTATTTATCTCAGCAAGAGTAAACAATGTAAAACATCCCCGTAAGGTTTCATTATTAACAGCTTTAGTGCCAAGGAAGATGAGAACGTACCGCTGTTTGAACCAGTAAACTTCATATAGGTCGGACCTTCACATTTTGTAAGCTGCCGATTTCACAAAGAATGATCTGCAATTTCTGCATAAACAATAAAAGAGTCATGATTAAGCATATAACGGAAAGCAAAGGGTAGCAAAAAAATTCTAAAAGAAAGGCTAGAATGCTAATAGAAGATAAAACAGGGCATTTGGTCTAGTGGTATGATTCTCGCTTTGGGTGCGAGAGGTCCCGAGTTCGATTCTCGGAATGCCCCATTGACTTTTTCTACAGTAGATGTCTCCAAACGTAACTGAAATATCAAATATGTATGACAAAAGAGGTTTCTTTTTTTCTGACTCAATTGCAAAACATACATTTCAAAAGCATTTTAGCCAAACAATTAGACTATTAGAGAACAGGAATCGTAGGTTACAGTGTGTAAACAAAATAACAAAGGTAGAAAAAAAATTCCCGTTTGAGAGAACAGCAAATGGTTTTTCAATGGATTCTTATTGGGGTATTGTCTAGGGTAATAGTCAATAACCAAGAATTTGGTATAGCAGTCTGATCCAATCAAACTTAAGACAAACAAGATCATAGTGAATCGAACTACTCGATGTTTTTCAAATGATTGATGTAAACAGCAAGTCGAAAAATAAAGGAAAAGAGGACTACCCTCTTCTAATGATCAATATCCACTTTCTAAGGAAAATGCAAGTGGTCATATCATTCGAATTTCAGTTGAAAGAGATTTCATATAATAGATCTAGGAATATCCTAATCTATTTAGTGAAGTCAACAAAGACAATGGTATCACAATATGACAAAACAGTATGATATTCAACGCTATAACTAAAACGCTTAGCAACAGGGCATTTGGTCTAGTGGTATGATTCTCGCTTTGGGTGCGAGAGGTCCCGAGTTCGATTCTCGGAATGCCCCTTTGACTTTTTGTAAAACATGTTCTAAATGCCAGCTTAGACTTATTGCATACAAATTTGTATTTGCTTCCAGACTTTTCACAGGTGATCGCATTCATCATTTCAACGATGTGAATCTACCTAAAACTCCACCAAGACTAATTTACAAACAATCCACCGGAAAGTCAACTAACATCTTCAAGCATCAGATAAATAATAGATTGAATCTAAACCAACTGACGATTTTATAGAAGAGCATAGAAAATGTTTGACCATAATGCATATACAACAGGGCATTTGGTCTAGTGGTATGATTCTCGCTTTGGGTGCGAGAGGTCCCGAGTTCGATTCTCGGAATGCCCCCATTGACTTTTTGTAAACAATATACATAATCTAAATGCCAGCCTAACAATTCTTGTAATATCAGTATTGATTCAATCCAAGATTTTTCACAGGTCTTGTTCAACAACTGAAGACCATATGTTCTCCTTCTATTTAAGCAAGAGAAAAACAAAAAAAAACAAACCGTCCAATCTATATAGTGCATAATGGCAAAAGAAAAGAAAAACATACCACTGTTTCGCGTCCAATCTATGAACAAGAATGAAAACCATCACGTTTGGTAAGCTGCCAGACTCATCAAGAATGAACTGCAGAAACAGCTCACAAGTCGTGATTAAGCATATAATGAAAAAGTAAAGGGAAGCAACAGTAATTCTTACAACCAGTTACACAGTAAAAGAAGTGAATCAGATGCTTAAACCAATGTACTCTCTCCTAAGATCTCCGGTTGTCATACTTAACATATACTTTTCAAGCATTGATGCTTCAGAGGAGCTAAAATCATAACTACAAATTGATTTTGACATGGAAACAAGAACATTACAGGACATTTCAAAGGGTGCATCAAACACAGTTTCCACATCAGCGGGATATGTTGGATTGAACGCTTTTCGTCCCTAAGATGCAAACACCACACAAATTGCTTGAACTGATTTATATTAACAACAGGGCATTTGGTCTAGTGGTATGATTCTCGCTTTGGGTGCGAGAGGTCCCGAGTTCGATTCTCGGAATGCCCCATTGACTTTTTGTAAAATGATGTTCTAAATGCCAGCTAACATTTCATCAAAATTAAATTACAGCAATCCACCTTTACTATTAAACCCTGAAAGTCAACTAATAGAACTAGATCTAAAACATGACCTAAATTATCTAAACAAGAAGCATTCTAATGTCAGATCCAAATATAAAGTATAGAACAGTTTGAACTTACTGCATTTTGCCAGCATCATTGAGAATAGAACCCTCAAAATTATAATTTCCTTTAAAACGGAGTGAAGGTTGTATTCTCTTTTTCACAGGATAAAACAACAACACATTGCCTGCTAAATCAATAACAGGGCATTTGGTCTAGTGGTATGATTGTCCCGAGTTCGATTCTCGGAATGCCCCGTTGACCTTTTGTGAAACCATATGTTGTAAGTTCAAGTTCAGAATTTTTGCATACAAATTTTTATTTGGTGCCTGGTTTTCACAGATCACATCCAGGAGATCAACTATGAGTATCTACCTAAAACTTCAGCAATGTTACTAGCGTATTGTCTAGGGAGTCAGTCAATAGCTAAGCATTTGATATGGCAGCATGATCAGTCAAATGTTAAGACAAACGAAATCATAGGACCAATATTTCTTTTGAGTTTTTCCACACGGAGTACAATACAAACCAGAGATTCAGACAAAAATGCAAATCATAATTCACAGGAATTTCAGTTGAATGCGATTAATGGATCTCATAGACTAGAACTAGGAACATCCTACTAAGACTAAAATATTTATTTTATAAAAGTCAACTAAGAGAATGAGATCAAACTCTGACCAAATCTACAACGTTTAAACTAAATTGCTTAACAATAGGGCATTTGGTCTAGTGGTATGATTCTCGCTTTGGGTGCGAGAGGTCCCGAGTTCGATTCTCGGAATGCCCCATTGACTTTTTTCATAAATGATCTAAACTCAAGTTCAAGTAGCAAATTGCTTTACTTAGTCCTAATCGTAGATCTTGATCCAAGTACGAACCACATATTACCCTTTCATTTAAGTTAAAGAAAATACAAACAACAGGCACCTTAAGTTTCATTTTTAAGTGCTTAATGCAATGGAATATAAGAGCATACCGCTGTCACGTCCTCTCAGTAAACTTCATGTTGGGATGATTGTCATCTTTTGTAAGAAGCCAGATTCAAAAAGAATGAGCTGGAGAAAACAGCAAACGAATTGTGATTAAGTATTGATCACAAAAGCAAAGGGAAGCAACAATTTTCTTAAAGCATAAGAAAACAGGGCATTTGGTCTAGTGGTATGATTCTCGCTTTGGGTGCGAGAGGTCCCGAGTTCGATTCTCGGAATGCCCCGTTGACATTTTGTAAAACATCGGAAAATTTCTTAGGGAACTAATATTGGTTTTTAATTATAGATTATTCTTCAACAACTATGGACCACAAGTTTCGCTTTCATTTCAGGAAGAAAAAAAAAACAACAACAACCGCCTTAAAGTTTCATTAATAAGTGCATGGCAAAGAAACATAAAACATACCGAAAAATTATTAAGTGCTTGACGCAAAGGAGAAGATACCGCTCTTTCACATCCAATCAATAAAACTTTACAACCAGTACCCTTCATATAGGGAGGACCATCATGCTTTGTAAGCAGCCAGATTTATCAAATAATGAGCTGCAGAAACAGAAAAAGAATTTCGATTACATATCTATCGAAAAATTTGTCCTTTGTTGCCTTACTTTTCCAAGACAATATTCAGCAAATTCAGCCTTATAATTTATCAAAATTTACAAACAATCCACGTTAGTATCAACCGATGAAGGTCAACTAATAGAACTAAAACTAATAGGCAGCTTGACAACTTTAAAAATCGAATAGACTGTATACAGCTTCATCAAAAATATACACATCAAAAGGAAAAGGCTAGCACATCAACTTCAAATCTTGAAATATTCTGTTAAGACTTAAGGACCGAAAATAACTCAATTTTGAAAGGATCCACAATTCAGTTTCTTTCTTAAATAAGGAAACAACAAATTTGATTTTATCCACAAGATAATAAATAGAGGACACTTACAATTGCTGTACATTGCGGGATTCTCCATGAATATGCAGCAACAATAGGAAAAAGATCAAGTTCCTGCCTTTAGAATGGGTAGCCAGTGCAAATCCCTGCTTTAGAACAAGTCTACAGGGGCACTTATTTTTATAGATTCTACCAAAAATTCATTCATGCAGAATTGAAGCCATTCGCAAAGAAAAAAACTACCAAAGCAGAACCAGATAAAACCAAAACCATGCAATAATAGGAAGAAAAAGGTCCCAATACAAAGAAACGGTGGTCCTGGGTTAACTACGAGCAATAAGAAATCCTAACTGAATGTATTATTGAAACACAACAAGTCTAGTCCAGAGATAACAATGTAATTGATGCGTGAATCTAAAACGATTAATAAAAATCATAAGGCTCATAAGACAAGTTTGCTTTCAAATTTGTTCAGTATACGAATATTTAGTACAAGTATTACAAAGGAAAATGAGTGTTTGAAGGTGAGTACTGAGTACGAGTTTTCCTCCAAATCCACAATTGAGGGTGATGTTTGCCTAGAATCATAACAAGCCAACTGTTCTCTGAATCATAATTGAGAATCCTGTAGGAACAACTCAGAAATGAAGCCTAGAAAAAGTTACAATATAATTATTTCAAATTCAAGAATAGAGACTGACCTAGATCATGCTGAGAAAGAAACCCCTCCAATTATCTAAAGACAAACAGAAGATTCATGGAAACCTGTAGTGAGATGCCCCAGCAGGAAATCAACTGGAGCTTCAGCTACTGCGTCTGCATATATATAAGCAAGTAGCCAAGTTCTGCATTCACTGGTACAGAGAATTAATTGTATGGAATGTTATTGTCTTGGTGTTGATCTTCTAGTGGAAGAAGACTAATCTAGGAAAGCATCATTCGAAAAATTATGTTCATTAAGGCATACAAGTATGTTTTTCTACCATTTTAGGGTACTTAAACTTAGGGCACTGCTCGATAAAAGCAGGTGGTCTTTCATAAGTCACAGATGCAGCTCTGATCAAAATCCCGGCAGTTAAACCCCATATCATATAATCCTTATCTCCTGTTCTGTAGTCAAAGTAGTGGATCAAATACTTTTCGCCCATCCACTCTCTCTCTTCAGATCTTCGATTCTCATCCTGGACAAATGTTCAAGTAATGATGCTTCAGAAAGGGAAAAACAACTACAGCTTAAGTAACTTGATAAGAAAACAAGAGGAACCTTAAGGAACATTTCCAAGGGTGCATCAAACACATCTTCCACTTCCCCAGGATTTGGTGTCGGATTGAATTTTGTTTTGTCCCTCAAGATTCCTATCACAGGAATTACTCTAAGCAAATGCTGTAAGAAAATGACGCAAATGTAAGAGAAATGGAGAATCATGCATCTCTCACTACAGAAAAGGAAAAGAAAGCTTGACATAAGGCAGGGAACATCTGCCTTAGAGCCTAAAAGACAACAAAAAGGCAACACTCTGCCGTATTAACACGACTCCTACTTAAGAACATTCAGGATCAAAACCTACATAGCGTTCAAGACCGTCACTTTAGCTACCAGATCTCTGCTACTATGATATAATACAGCTAACATAGAAGTTCAAGAATCAAAGCTAACTAGAGCCACTAGTAATTCATACTATGACCTTAATGTCCAAGCACAGAAGATCAGCAAGATAGTCTAAAACCTCCACTTCAATGCCAATCCCAAATACTGATCTAACTAAGAACATGCATCACCCACCAATAAGAAAAGGAGAATTAGAACCACTTTTTAATACCTTAGAGAGAAATGGTTCGAGAGAAGTGACAACATCAACAAGAGAAGGGTCCAATCCAATCTCTTCCTCAGCCTCTCTAGTTGCAGTCATCCCATCATCCTTATCATCCTCCTCCGCTTTACCACCTGGCAATGAAACTTCTCCTGCAACCACCCAAAAAAAAAAAAAACAACCTTTATTAACAACCACCTCAAATTCAACACTAGACCAAACTCATTGACCAAAAAATCAAAGAAGCCAATGCTTTCCAAGTTAAAAGACGAAACCTTTAAATCGAACCTGAGTGAGTAGACAACTTGGAAGATCTCTTAGTAAGAATGACACGCAAATCACCATCATCTCCTTCAAAGATACAGATCAACACAGCGGCTCTCTTGGGTTTAAACCTCTCAGGGTCTTTCGAAACCGGAGCAATAGATTCCTGAAATCCAACCTGAGAAACCACTTTCCCAGCGGTCTCCTGATCAGTCTGCGTTTCCTCGACGTCATCGAACGATGAAGAAGGTGGCGGCTTGTATTGGCGAAGTTGCTGGGCTAAAGCGGCGAGTCGAGAAGACCCACCACCGAAAGAGGAAGTCGCTGTTATCGCAGGCTCCATAGATTTGCAGAGAAGGGTTGTTGTTGTTCGTGCAAATGAAGGAAGCCTACGATAAAGCAAAAACATGAATCCGATTTGCGGAAATGGATTCTGTGTGTAATCATAAAAAGATCACAAATTTTAATTCGAGAAAATCAGACACCTCCTCGTGAGTCTCCACGTGTTTCTTGTTCTTTATGCCTTTTTGGCTTTCTTTTGGCTCATGTGAACGAACCTTTGGATATGTCGCGCTTTATTATTGGCTTTGGTTAGTAAACTCGTATCATTGCAGTTGTGGTTACGGGTGGGCACGGAACGGATATCCGGGATTTTAGTGATATTCATAATTCGATTCACTTCATCCAAATAATTAGGTTTTTGATCCATATTTGTTTTTATTTAATGACTGAATATCCGACTGTTCGGGCAGCATGTGGTATATAATTTTTACCGTTTTTATAATTATGAATCACAAAATCCGTATTTTTAGATGTTGATATTGTTCTTTTAAAATTTTGTTTAATCGTTTTTAAATATTTTGATATCGTATTTTATTTTATTTTATTTTTGCGAAAAGAGTTTTACTGTTTTGTATCATCAATATGATTTTATTGTATGCGATTTGTAAAAACTTGTGTAAAAAAACGTTTTTTGGACCCTTCAACATTTAAAAGTTACAAAATCCAAATCTTTTGCGATTGTAATACAAATCCAAATCTTTTGCAATTGTAATAAATTTGATGTAACGAAAAACGATTTTGTGTTTTCTTCCATTTAAACTATGTATTTAAGTAGTTATCATGAATACGTTAATTGAATGATAAAGCACAATTGAAGGTTTACACACGAAAATAAACTAATAATAGACCATTTTCAAATGGTTTGGAATTTGGATCATCAATGATTAAACTTCAATTAGTTGATTTCGGTTTTTTCTAATTGGAGTATGTGGGGCTTAGACACTTCTCTTCTAATCATAGTTCGTTTGTTTACTTCTAGTTTTGGGGACGAGGCTTTTGTCAGAGATTTTCTTGTTTGGTTTTGTAGCTAGCATATCTTTTTGCTATCTAACCAAAAAAAAAAAATCTTTTGTAATTCGTCTCTTTCTCAACAGTGAGCGACGGTTTGGTATGTTTGTGGCTTTCTGCGTCTATCTTTTACCGTCATGATCCGAACTTTCATAAACATTGTTTTCCTAATAGGACTCTTCAATCTTGTTGAAATTCAGTTCTTTTTTTTTTTTTAATTATTATTAAAGGCATTTGAAAACTTCAGTTCTGATATCACTTATCGCAAATTTATTTGAATCGATCAACTATTGTCAATATAATTTTATTTTTGTGAGGGTTGTCTCCAATGATAAGATGCATGGGTCCGACCAAGAACTCCACGTTTAAGTAAATTTTAAAATCAATAACTCATATATCAGTTGTGTCTTAGGTAGATTGCTTAAATCACATTCACATATATAATTTGTTAGCTTATTTAAACTAAAATACGAATAGAACTGGAATAACTGGTAAACCACCTTTTACAAAATTCAACCAAGTAATTGAAGGGTTGGCACGATCAAATGGACTTTTTCATATAAAAGTAGACCGTTGAGATTATTCTTGTATATCTATTATATATTAAGCATAATAGTTATCTAAATTCTGAGAAAGTACATATCGTAGTCCTCCTGTTCGTGGCTCATAAACATATGCATCGGTGGTTTACAATAGCTTAGAAGTGGTGTGTACATGTTATATAGAAAACCCTATGCCATGCCATGCACTGGGACATATATCTTGCAGTTTTGTGTTTTTCCGTATCTGCACACCCATTTTTTTTGTAGAGTAACCACGTAAATGAACTGCAATAGTCTTTGAATCTATAACCCCAAACCAAACATATTTAACGTGTCAAACAATTTGTCATTTTTTCAAATTACATTACATTAGTTTATAAATAACTTCTATCATATCAGACTGTTTCTTGTCGTGATTGAAATCCTAATTTCTTTTCTCCTTGGCGTTTTCTACGTGCAGTTGTACAGACCAAAGAAAAACAAAACAAAACAACATAATAATAATCGAATCAGACAAAACTAAAATTTAGAATTGTAGAACAAAAAAAATGGGAGAAAAAGAAGAGAAGAAAGAGAAAGGCGAGGAAATCATCACAGCCGTTTACAAGGTTCACCTTCACTGCCGGAAATGTGCATGCGACATCAAAAAGCCTCTCCTTCGATTCCAAGGTTAGGCTTGATCATTGTCTAAACGATGGCCTTTAAGTAAGAGATGGCTCAATCTACTTTTGAGAGCTATTTCATTATATTTCTCCTGCATTTCCTAGAGACTTTCTCTTAAGACTTATTGTTGATTAATTCACAAGCGCGGTGTTTAACTATCATGTGTGGAGAATTGATAGTGATGTCGTAGCATTTTGATTAAAGAATGATATAATATTGTAGGGGTTCATAATGTGGACTTTGATTTGGAGAAGAATGAGATCAAAGTAAAAGGGAAAATAGAAATCGTAAAGATTCACAAACAAATCGAGAAATGGAGCAAGAAAAAAGTCGAGCTCATCTCTCCCAAACCTTCCGAGGTTAAAAAAACCACCACTACAACAACAACTACTTCTGTGGTAGAAAAGAAGACCACCGAGGTCAAGAAGGTTGTTTTTGCTTCCATAATCGCATACCATATATGTATATACCTATATTTGTGTGTTTACTTTTAATAATCCGCAGGAAGTTATTCGTACGACAGTACTAAAGGTACACATTCATTGCGCACAGTGTGACAAAGATCTTCAGCACAAACTCTTGAAACACAAATGTAAGATCGAGTCGATTTGAATATTTAAAATAATTGTTTGAAGTAGTATCAAATGAATTGGGGGAAATATATAATAGAAATAAATATCAAAATCTTATATTGATTAATTAGTCCAGTGCTTGGATTCTAACTTGGTTATTTTGGCAGCTATTCACATCGTGAAAACCGATACAAAGGCGCAAACCCTAACGGTACAAGGGACGATAGATACCGCAAAACTTTTAACCTATATAAAGAAGAAAGTTCACAAACATGCAGAGATCGTAAGCTCAAAGACCGAAGAAGAGAAGAAGAAGGAAGAAGAGGATAAGAAGAAGAAGGAAGAAGAGAAGAAGAAAGAAGACGAGAAGAAGAAGAAGGAAGAAGAGAAGAAGAAAGAAGAAGAGAAGAAGAAGAAGGAAGGAGAGGAAAAGAAAGAAGAAGTAAAAATAGAAGTGACCAAAACGATTACTCAAGTTGTGGAATTTAAAGAGAAAGTAAAAGTTGAGGGCCAAAAAGATAAAGATGGAAACATACCTTACTTTGTCCACTACGTATACGCTCCACAATTGTTCAGTGATGAAAACCCTAATGCTTGTTGCATTGTCTAGTTACACAGTTGCATATATTTGTAATATTGTTCATATGAAATGTTACAGTATAACTATCATATCAGTTATACTTAAAACCAATGATGATGATGATGTGATATTGTATTAGAAAGAATCATCTATAAAAAGGGATACTGTATATAATTTTGCTCTTGGATGATGGCAAATCCAAGTAAATTAGTTAAAGCTATGATATTTTAGGGGAAAAATATAATTAATGTTTGTATTCTGCTTAACAAAATGGATTGTCTACAATGTGTGTTTCACTTTGTATTATATTTTTTCTACGTTATATATATATATACTCTCTTTTTTAATGTTACTTGAAGTGTTATATAGTTGATTATGTTATCAATTATATTTTGGATATAGAATTATATCTTAGAACTCAATTACAAATATATTTTCACGTGAATCATAGTACTAATTGTTAGAATATAAGAAAACAAAATATTTTCTTATTCACGATAATATCAAATATGTACAGAGGCTACTCTTCTTGTACCTATTTAACGATTACTTCATTGTTGATTGCGGCTAAAGTTAAATGTTTAGAAGAAGGGCTAATGAATGTAAAGTTTCGACCAAATAGCTGAGAGGCATATTAGCTTGGACCAGCAATATGTGTATCCGCATTGGTGTTTTTATATGCATAATCCGCGAGAAGATCATCATTCTTCACGATGTAAGAGATATATGAGCTAGTAAGGTACTAAAAAACACGAACAAGATTCTTGTAACTAGGTTAAACTCCGTAGAGTATTCTATTGATGAGGTAATCTTTCTATAGGTACAAGAGGAGTAGCATCTAAATTATGTACGTACATTTTTTGACATTATCGTAAATAAGAAAATATTATATATTTCTATATTCTAAGAATAATATTAATTTATATAATTGTTTTATTATGTCGGGTAGCACCAGACAGTAATTTTGTCGTAGAAAAAACGCTACATCAAACATTTTTTTAGAATAAAATGTTTAATAGTTATTCTTAAATAAGACCAATTATATGGTTGTACGGCTAAGTTTTTTTTTCTCCATATTTGCATAAATCGTTTTTACTAATAACTTTGGATTTTTTTCGTTTTGAGAAGTTCGAGTTTTGGATTTTCTTAAATTTAGAAAATATAAAACACTTTATATAAATTGAATCTATATATGTCCTACCAAAAAAATAATCAAATCTATATATACTAAAATGAGGAAGGTTTTGTGTTATTGTAATTAGTTTTTTTCTAATCTGTACATTACTCATATAATAAAGCAATTTATTCTAAAATTTAATTATAATTTTGAATTTTTTTGTAGAATGAATTGATTTATTAGATGATATATATATATAGTATATATATATATATATATATGTGTGTGTGTGTGTGTGTGTGTGTATATATAAAGATACACAAGAGAGTTAGGGAAAAGCTAATTACAATGACACCCTTAACACATTAATTTATATCCTCTATAACTGGTATAAAAAAGTTAGTTTGAATAATACAAATTAAAATTGAAAGGAATATTATATGCGAGCTCAAATAGATTTAGAGAAAATAAGGTATATAAAGAAAGATATATTTAGTGTTTACAAAAGCTGGAAACAGTCCATCACTTAAAGATGTGATTTTTGTCTAATTATCCCATATCTAAGAGTCAATGCGGTATATTTTCTCTACTTTTAAAAAGATCTTTCTCTTATATTCTTCCTCTTAGTTAGTAGATACGCCCAAAATTAAATAGTGACTAAATTGATGTGTAATCTTTAAGCTTCCCGTAAGATATATATTCTTTCGTAATTTTGATGAAATAATTAATTACTTATGACCAACAAATAGTAGGTCAATATTGTATGACATATATAAGTACTAATTAACAAGTTGGAAGATTTGTTTCTTTTTTTTCTCCTCGTTTGTAATCAACATGAAAACTTTTCTTGTATGTCAATTTCCCATATTTAGTTTTTCTTTTCTTTTTGTACAAATTCAACATCTATCTGTTCGCTGCATTTTTCTTAGACCTTTAAAAATAGAAATTACATAATTACTTTTCTTAAGTTCTTATGTTTGACCAAATTTTTCTGTTCCCTTTTTTTGTTTTTCAAATTAGATATTTTACCAATTAAGGAGGCCAAAAACTAGTAATCTTTTCTTATTAAAAAAAAAAAAAAAAGTAAACCTATGATATCTATTTTTCTTTGGTAAGAATATTTTTCTTAATTATACTATTACAAGTGATAAGTACAACAAAGACCAATCACATATGCCTTACCAATATGTAATAAATATTTAAATTATATAATTATGCAATATTTTTTTAATTTCCTCCAATATCATTGAAGAAAACACACAACATTTTTGTTTTAAGCACAACTTTTCAAAGAGAAAATCACGGAAATAAATTTGGATTCATGATCTCTCTATATATCCAGGTGGTTTAAAATCATAAAACAAAAATTATAGAGATCTTAAGAAAGCTAAAAACATGGAGTTTGAAAATTCCTAAAATCCCCAGAACTTTTCTCACTACGCCAGAAGAGCCGATTTTGTCTCAGATTTACTTTCCTTTAATCTCTCCTATTTTTAATGACTATTATTTCTTTCTCCTTTTGCAACATATTTTTCTCCACCACCTTTTTTTCCTTCACCATTATAAATTGCTCTTCAATCATTTCTCTTTTGTATATTCATAAACTAGAGACCAAGAGACATAAAAAAACACTTAAGTAATAGAGAGAACACATCAAAATGTGTAGTAAGACGAGTAGTGTAAGTTATGGAAACAGAGAAGATGATGATGATTACTCTGTCTTGTGTCCGAAGAAACAGAAACATAATAATGGAGGAAGAAAAAGAGTCCCACGTAGAGGACCTGGTGTTGCTGAACTCGAGAAGATCCGTCTCGGAGAACAACACATCTCTACGACCGCACCATTTCCTCGTCCTCGTCCTCCTCCCCTGGAGAAGTCTCCAACATTCACTGATAGAACCGGTCTGGTTTACCCGTTTTCGTCTTATTTCACTGCCGGATCTTTCCCTAGTGATTTGATTCCTCCGGCTCCAGTGTTTCAGAGGAAACATGATTCGTCTCTTCACTACCTCCCTCCGGTAAATAGACAAAAAAAAATATATATACTCAATGATTAAAAATTTACATTTTATGTGATACTGATTTGTGTTTACAGATGAATCTACCAAATCAAGGATCTGGAGGATTTTATCAATTTATAGAGCCTCCTTCAAGCCAAACATCTTGTCTTGACAATGTCACTAAATTTCTAGATGAAGAAAAGGTAATGTTTTGAGTTTATTCCTTAAGAAACAAAATCAAAGTAATCAATTTGAGTTTAATTCTTACTAATCTATTTTGATATTTGACAGATCTCGGCTGGGAAAAGGCCATGGCATCTTATGGCAGATACCGCGAAATGTAGTGTTGGACCGACCATAACTAGCTCAAGGTCTGTTTTTAGGGTTAATCAGTTTCTTGAGTTATAATATATGCATAGAAAATCTAAGTTCAAATTAAATTTCTTTGTTTGACATTTTTTTTCGGAATTGTGTTTCAGAGATGCTAAACAAATCAGATCACTAGACCTTAGATTGAAAAATCATGTCCAAGATTCAGGAACCACAATAAGAAATCCAATCACTATTGATTCTCCTTCTTCAGCCACTGTTCCTACACCGATTTTTCCAAATTCGCCACTCGATTTCCCGCGCTTTTTACAGGTAATGCAGTTTCTATATGTTTCTATCAGTTTCAAATCCATTTTCACCCTCCTAAATTTTTAAGTATGGACAGAGAGAAGAGGATGATCATGAAATCATACAACGAAAGAGCGGTACAAATTTTCCCTTAAACAGAAAACCATTCTACAGCTTCTTGCCCTCAAATGACCAGAGTATTCGTGACCAAGATCGATCCTTAAGCTTGAGAACCGAGAGATATGACACAGTCCCTGATCACGGCATTGATCTTCGCCTTAAGTTATAATCAAATTATTTTCTAAGCAATTTTCAAAACTTTGAGTCTTTACTCCATGAGTTTGTAGTTTCGGATAAATATGTAACAAAAGATATGCCAAAGACTTGGATTAGTTTTGTTTTATTCAACAACAAAAAAAAAAAAAAACATGATGCGAGTGAAAGAAACATACTTAAGCATGGGATTTCGCATTCAAGATTAATAATCAAAAGACTATATAATTGAAGACAATAGTTAACTTCAAAAATAAAAACATTATTTTACAATCTCCGAATGTTTTACACCAAGATCATAAACATAACACATGAAAAAGTATTGAAACTTGTAAAAGATAGGTAAAGAATTTACTAAAGCAAAAATGAATTTGCAATTCCTAAAAGAATCTATTGGTTTTCATTCTCTCTAACGTGCTTCCTTTGCCCTAAATGGTTTGCTGGACAATTGAGATTTTCCCTAATGGATCTTAACGGGCTTACAGGGCTTCTCTATGTAATTTAGCCTTTTTCCTAAAAACAAACGGAGGACCCTAGCGGATTTAGATCCGGGTCGTTACATCATCGAGACTAAGAAACTCGTAGCTGGATCCGTCTTGGACTCCATCGGAGACCAAGGTTGAGTTTTCTCATACAAAGAACTTAGAATACGACAATTCACAATCGCACCAGAGGTTAAAGCTAAAGAGTGAAAGGACAGAAACAGAGCAAGACGTGCCATGCATGGAAGTAAACTTGAAACAGAGTTTTTAGTCAGCAGTTTTGCCGTATTCGTCTCTTCTCACTCGAATATATCATACACACTAACACACATAAACTAACAAAATAACTGCTGCAGCAATGTATTAACTTTTTAGTTTTTTAGCAAAAAAAAAGACTTGAGTTGATCAAGTCATCAAAGATCAGTATTTAATTCATTCATTCAAAAAAAGATCAGTATTTAAAGAAAGTCTATGTTTTCGACAATTATTGTTAAAACTTCAGAACGTGAGTTACATTACACCTCTCTAATTATGATTTGTTGAAACCTATTGACTTTTGAACTTGTTTTAGAGTTATTACACCTCTCTAATTATGATTTGTTTAAACCTATTGACTTTTGAACTTGTTTTAAGTAATTACTAGTGTTTTTAGTTAAAGCCGTGAAAATCTCCACTACATCACCTTATATATGCAAATAGAGGAATCAATCTCACTTTTGGTCAAAACAAAGTTCCACAAAAGGGACGAAAACGCATTAAACCCTTACTTGCGTGCAAAGCAATCGATGTGTACTATTAGCATTTCATTGAATTATATGGAAATCAAGTTTGAGGCTTGAAGTTTTTTCTTTTTACTATCACACAGAGCTTATATATTTTTATCTATTAAGTTTTTTGAGATTCCTTAATGATCAGTGTCAAGAGTGAAGTTGTGAAGCATTTGAACATTATCCGCAAACTTTACGAGATAATTCATATATAACCTCAAAGATATTGAGACTTTATATCTATATTTATGGACATTCAACACCAAACAGCTTGTAAAACATACACCACAGACGAAATATATGAAAATACATAGTGGATCAATATGGGAGAAAGTAGGAAATCTTTAGCAAAAAGAACTCTTGGGACAGTTTCACTGATTATTTGTTGAAGGTAAAAGTTTTGCCCTTGTCTAGAGACATGAAATGGAAATATACTACGACAAGAGAGATGAAGTAGAGAGCAAAGGCGAAGACACATATCCATAATGGATAAGTCGATCTCACATAAGCCGGTACGCCTATTAAGAGACCAACGATCACAATAATGAGAACTTCTGTTGTGTAATCCCAAATTAATTCTCTTGCGTACACAATTGCCAATATAATTGAAATTCCCATCAGATTGTTCATTGTAACATCTTTGTAGATCTACACAAAAAGAAAAGAAAAAAGAAAAGAATTTAGTTTTTGAGTATCGATACCGATTTAATGGAGTTTCAAGAAAACTAACTAACCTCGCAAAATGTGTCAGATGTGATTCTTGCTTTGTCTTTCTTGCGACAGAAGTGAGCTGACAAGGTATTCTTTAGGTTTCTTGCCAAAGGAATGACTACAAAGACAACATAGAAGGAAGGAACTCCAGCTGATTCCGACAAAAGCTGAATGTTCATCATGAAAGGTCTTGCAAGATAGATGACAATTAGAATCCCTAAAGTGACTTCCAAGGCAGCTCTCAAGGTTTTCCATGAGACCAGCTTAGTAAAAAGACTTTCCTTTGGCTTTTCTACCTTCAATATTGGATTCTCCTCCTGCAAGTATAATCAACATCTTTTCGATATTTCTTAATCTGATCAAACAGGTAAAAAAGGAATTGAGAAGATTGTTATGCACTTACAGCTTGGTCCTCTCTTGGTGGCACGGTGCTATCGAAGCTAAATTTGTACTGATTCAGCCATTTTTTAATCCCAATTTCGAATTCAGCCTCATTTATCTCACCATCTCCATCCCTGTCGAAATCGGCAACCAATGTAGTGACAAGCTTATCTATGTGACATTTGACTTTCCCTATCATCCCAAACTCCACCGTAAGATCTTTCAACTCTGAAACTTGGATCTTTCCATCTCCGTTTACATCGATTCTTTCAAACAATCTGTATGATTAATAATAACCAGTAAGAAACAGAACAATTTGATGAACAGAGAAGCAGAACAATTAGTGCTTAATATGGAATAAAATGGATTATTTAAAACCTTTTCAAGCTCTCTTGATTTAGTTGTCCATCTCTTATAAGGCTTTTGGGCGAAAAAATCTGTAAATGCTTATGAACTTCTGACATGAGCTCAAATCTCGCGTGATCTAAGCTCTTCTCTTGATCATCTCTATCAAAATACTGCGAGTTTTTGACAAAGAGAAAACCAAAAGATTACCACACAAAATATAAGAATAATCTTGAACTTTTACTTCATTTTTTGAGGGCAGGCTCATACCGAATAAAAAAAGTAGACAAAAGTTGCAGAAGCAGAGATTATGAGTGTGATCAAAACGATTATGTCATTCCAAGATTGTGAATTAGATATCTCTGAAAATGAGACCAATATGAAGGGTAGTATAGTCAAGAGCATAATCCCTGCCGCTCTTTTGTTCTTAGGATCTGCTTCTACGCTAGCTGCTCCATAATAAGCACACAACAACAACAACAAAGAAACAAATTAGGCTCGCGCGCATAATTAACATTCCAAAGAAACAGAAATCTGTAAGAGTTTTAAACATACCGAAAACGTAATTTAATAGCTTTTTCCAGTAAACTTGTGTTCTTGGGCACTTTACGTCCTGTAACAAATTATAATCAAACTCACTTGACGATTCATAAACTCAAAGAAGAAGAAGAAGAAAACTTACTGAATTTTCTCCAGATTCTATGGGCTGTTCTGGTTTAGAACCAGACAAGCCAAAGAGAATACAAGCTCCCCATTGCATTGTCAAAGCAAAGACAGAGTATCCCACAGTAACTCCAATGATATTACCCACCCTCGAGCTTGCCATTTCGCGGCTTCCTACCAGTCCAGTTGCTGAGAACAAACCCAAAAAGAGAGCTTAATATTTCTCTTTTAATACAACATATAGATTCAAAAAGCAAAAGAAGATCGAGATGACTTCTTACAGAGAATAAGCGCGATTCTTGGAAACATCGTAAGGAGAGGGAAGACGATTCCGCCATAAAAACCTACCTCGAAGATGAGAAAGAGCTTAGACCTTCCTTTAGTCAAGAAGTATTCACCGATTATCAAGAGGCAACCAAAGGAGAAAACTTGGAAGACATATCCTCCAACATTGTCTGCACATGGAAGAAACCCGTAGACATGTATGCATTGATTCTTGGTAATGCTGCCATTTCGCGGATCAAGACTCAGAAACTCGTAGCTGGACCCGTCTTGAACTCCATCGGAGATCAAGATCGAGTTTTTCTCAGATAAAGAACTTAAAACACGACAGTTCACACGAGAGATCAAAGCTATCAGAGAGAGAAAGGACAGAAACAGAGAAAGACGTGCCATGGAAGTAAACTTGAAACAGAGATTTTAATGAGCAGTTTTGTTGTATTTTGTCTCTTCTTACTCCAACATATATATATACACAGAAACCTAATCTTACTATAGCAAATTCTTACTGTTAGGTTTTTACGTAATAGAATAAAGAAAGACTCTCTTGAGTTGATCAAGTCTTTAGTAACTAAATAAAGACTTTATGGTTAAATGTTAGAACGTGAGTTACACCTCTCTAATTATGATTGGCAGGGTCGTCGGGGTAGATTATAGATAGATTTGTTTAGGACTATTGACTTTTGAATTTTGGTTTAAATAAGAACTAGTGTGCTTAGTTTAAGGTGTGGAATCTCCAGCACATCACCTTAACCCCAAACAAATATATGAGATAGGAACTGACGTTAATTTTTTGTCAAAACAGAGTTGTACAATAGAGACCAAAACGCTTATTCAAAGCCCTTACTTGCGTGAAAAGCAGCTGATGTCATTTTTTTTTTTTGTCAAGAGCTTATATTATTAGAAAGGCTCATGGAGCCAATGCCGGAGGACATTGTTTACGTAAGCAGCTGATGTCTACTATTAACATTTGTTAAAATATTTGGAAAATTAATGTTTAGCGTGGAGTGTTTGACGTTTGATCATGTATAGTAAAACCTCTACATATAAATATTATTTGATATATAATAATATATATGTAAGAAAATTTAGTGAAATATGACTCTAGTATTGTTTGTTTATTTTAAATTTACATTAAGTTTTAGTAAAATTTATTTCTAATATTTTTATTACATTGAAAACATTTTTTGCTGTTTTCTAAACATAATATTGATTATAATGAAAATAAATTATTTTCAAAAAGGAAATTTTTTGAAATATTACAAATTTGACTAATCTCTCTATAAATTAATAACTATTAAATTATTGATTCACTTTCTTTCGTTGATAAATAGAAAACAAAAATTGCGTTTGTTGGAAAAAAAGAAAAAGAAATACGGAATCAACTAACTAGTTCAACACATGTGTGTCAATTGTACGATAGAACTAGTTTTTTTTTTTTTTTTTGGTTTTATATTCTTGTGGTATAGCTAGCTAACAGATGTAAATTCAACATTCATTTCTGAATAGTTATTTTGAGAAAAGTATTATCTGAAAACTTTGAAATGTCTCTAAGTGAGAATGCAAACTTGTCTCTAAATATTGAACCATTTTCACAATTTCTTCCAACTTTCATAACATCAGAGATTTAAAATTCTTATCTAGCTCTGGATGCTTAACATCAAAGAGCTCATATACATAAAACGTAGACGGAACTTTCAAAATACATAGCGGATCGAAACGGGAATAACTATGAAATCTTGAAAAGAAAAAAACATTAGGAAATATTCACTGATTATTCATTAAAGCCTAAAGGTGAAAGTTTCGTTCTTGCCTATAGACTTGGAATGGAGATAGATCAAGACAAGAGAGAAGAAGTAGAGAGCAAAGGCCAAGACACATATCCAAAATGGATAAGTCGATCTCACATAAGCCGGTATACCTATTATGAGACCAACGACCACAATAATGAGAACTTCTGTTGAGTAATCCCAAGTCAATCCTCTAATGTACACAATCGCCAATATAATTGTTGTCCCCAACAGATTATTCAATGTAACATCTCTGTATATCTACAAAAAAAAAAGAACCACAACACTCATTCACTTTTGAGCTTTGATAAAGCTATGAGGTAATATCGATACCGAGTTAATTAAACTAACCTCAGAAAAAGTGTCAGATGTGATTTTCGCTTTGTCTTTCTTGCGACAGAAGTGAGCAGACAAAGCGTTCTTTAGGTTTCTTGCCAAAGGGATCACTGCAAAGACAACATAGAAGGAAGGAATTCCAGCTGATACCGACAAAAGTTCGATATTCATCATGAAAGGCATTGCAAGAAAGCTGACAATTGTAATCCCTATAGTGACTTCAATGACAGCTTTCAAGGTTCTCTTTGTAAGCAACTTAGTAAAAAGACATCCCTGTAGTTGTTCCACCTTCAAAACTCCATCATCTTCCTGCAATTATTGAAACTTTCATAATTTCTTAATCTGATGAAACATGAAAAAAATGAATTGATGAAAAGATTGTTATGCACTTACAGCTCTGTCCTCTCTCGGTGACTCGGTGCTATCGAATCCGAATTTGTACTGTTTCAACCATTTTTCGATACCAATCGTGAATTCAGTCTCATCTATCTCACCATCTCTATTAATGTCAAAATCTGCAAGCAATGTAGTTGTAAGCTCATTTATATCACACTTCACTCTCCCTAACACCCCAAAGTCCACCGTCAGATCTTTTAACTCAGAAACTTGGATCTTTCCGTCTTTGTTGACATCGAATTTTTGAACAAACTGCATAAAAATAACCAGTAAGAATACAGAAACAGAATAAAATTAAACAAATGTTTCGCAAAATTAGAATATCAAAGGGAAAAATTGTATAGGAAACCTTTTCAAGCTCTCTTTACTTATTTCTCCATTTCTTATAAGGCTTTGAGGCGAAAAATTCTGCAAGTGCTTATGAACTTCTGACATGAGCTCAAACCTCGCGTATTCTAGGCTCTTCACTTGGTCCGCTTTATCAAAATACTGCGGGTTTTGACAAAAAAAAAAGAAGATTAAAGATTAGGCACAAAAAGATATGAATCTTGAAGCTTTACATCATTTTTTGTTTAGGTGCATCATTACCAAATAAACAAAGTAGAGAACAGTTGCAGAACCAGAGAATATGAGTGTGATCAAAACCATATTGTCATCCCAAGATTTTGAGTGAAATGTCTCTGAAAATGTGACCAAGACGAAAGGCAATAAAGTCAGGAGCATAATCCCTGCCGCTTTCTTGTTCTTAGGATCTGCTCTAACGCTAGCTCCTGCATAGAGAAACCGCACAAAAGACAGATTAGTTTCGCGGAAAAGATTCTTGAGAAATCAAGAATGAGAAATCAGTACGATATTTAAACATACCAGCAAGGTTCTTCAGTAGATTGCTCATCTTAACTTGTCGTCTTGGACTCGTTATGTCCTGTATCAAATTATAAAAATCACTTCATGATTCTTTACTCTCAAAAGAGAAGAAGCAGAAGAAGAACAAGAACAAGAAAAAGATCTTACAGAAGTTACGGACTGATCTGATCTCAAACCAGACAAGCCAAAGACAACACAAGCTCCCCATTGCATTGTCAAAGCAAAGACAGAGTATCCCACAGTAACTGCAACGTTATTACCCGTCATCGAGTTTGCGATTTCACGGCTTCCTATCAGTCCAGTCGCTGAGATCAAAGTAATGGTAAGATATTTTGTAGTACTCAAATTATGTCTAGGTTATTTCTCCAAAAGAAGAGATGACTTACATAAAATAAGGGCGATTCTTGGGAACATTGTAAGAAGAGGGAAGATGATTCCACCAAAGAAACCGACCTCGAAGATGACAAAGAGCTTAGACCTTCCTTTAGACAAAAAGTATTCACCAATTATCAATAGACAACCAAAGGAGAAAACTTGGAAGACATATCCTCCAATATTATCTGCACATGGAAGAAACCCGTAGACATGAACACAAGCACTCTTGGAGATGCGATTTGGCGGATCAAGACTGAGAAACTCGTTGCTGGATCTGTCTTGGACTCCATCGGAAATCAAGATTGAGTTGTTATCCTCAGACACAGAACTTAAAACACGACAATTAACAGCAGAGACTAAAGCTAGAGAAAGAATAGACAGAAACAGAGTAAGACTTGCCATAGAAGTAAACTTGAAACAGAGTTTTTAGTGAGAGTAGTTTGGTCGGATCCTTCTCTTCTTACGAATATATATATATAAATAATATACACATTACACAAACATAAATTAAGCAATGTAACATGATATTTGGAAGGGTTTTACGTAAAAGAATAAATAAAGTCTATAAGGTTTATAAAATTGATGAAGCTGAGGTTTATATTAAAAAAACTAAACTTTCAAAATTATTGAGTTTGATTTTTTTAAAACGGAAATGGTACACCTCTCTAATTATTATTAGCCGGTGATTATTCTGTAGTTTTATTATCATGTCCCTCGAGGTTTATTAACATATAATAGTATAAAGAAAGACTTGTTGAGGTTGGTAAAATTATAAAATTGATGAAGCTGAGTCTGTATTTTAGAAGAGAGTGAAATGACACCTCTTTAATAATGAATCTATGATTAGCAGTTGATGATTATATTTACTTTTAAAATCATTTGAACATGTGAATCAATAATCTTCATTATACAACTTTAAACGTCAATGTAGACACCGGCCACTTTTGTTTTATCAGAGTTATGGAACTAGAAAATACAACTTGTATATTTGTTTAGTAGAACAAGGACTTACTACAGTTACTTGCGTAGAAAGACAACTGTGTATCGATGTTCAAAGATTTTATTTTCTCTGTACATTTTTCCATTGAAAAGTGAGACATTGAAATGCATTAAAGACAATGATTGAAGGAATATGATGCAAAACATACACACGGAAACAAAAGAGAATTTCACTCTGAGTCTCAGGAATAGCGGTGTGCGATGAGGATAAAAGGGATTGTATAAAAGCTGAAGGCTACAAGGCTTGCCCATAAGGGATAAGTGGGAGTAATAGAGGCCGGTAAACCGACTATAAGACCGAAGAACACAACTATGAGAACTTCTGTTGAGCAATTCCATGTCAATCCTTTCGCGTACACAATCGCTAAGATTATCGACATCCCCATCAAATTGTTCATTGTAACATCCCTATAGATCTGAACCCGAAAAATTCAAGATTCAGCAACAATAAAGAAGAAAACCCTTTATAAAAAATAAGATTGAATCAATGATGATGTGTACCTGTGAAAATGTGAGAGATGCTGCTTCTTGCTTTTCTCTTTTGGCACAGAAGTGAAGAGACAAAGCGTTCTTCAGGTTTCTAGCCAATGGAATCACCGCGAAAGCGACATAGAAAGAAGGGATTCCAGCTGAGGCAGACAAGAGCGAGATGTTCATCATGAAAGGCTTTGCAAGAAACACAACAATCAAGATTCCTGCAATGACTTTAATTGAAGCTATTAACGTATAACCAACACTTTTCTTCTGCTCTTCCACCTTCAGACTCGGAGCAACAGCTGCTGCCTACACAGCATTTTCAGTCTCTTGGAAGTTAAAAACCGAGAACCCGTAAGAGCAATGGAACAAAATGAATTTTCTTCTTATGTAAACTTACAGCGCAAGTTACCAAACCGGCCTTTCGTTCTTTCATCCTCGTTTACCATACCATCGTCATCTTTGTCAAACTCTTTTAGCACGGTTTTCGCAAGAGCATTCATGTCACACTTTAGTTTCCCAAGTTTTCCAAACTCTAAAGTAAATTCATTTAGTTCAGAGATTTCCATCTTCCCATCATTATCATTATCGAATTTATCGAACAAACTGCAGTTTAAAATCAGTTAGTTCTCTATTAAAAAAAAAAGCAAGAAACAGAACAAAACAATCAATCAATGGTTTACTTTTTCAAGCTTTCCCTAGTGAGTTGTCCATCTTGCAGAATGCGTTCAAGCGAATATTTCTGCAACTTCTTTTTAACTTCGGACATGAGCTCAAACCTCGCTTTATCCAAGCTATTCTTTTGTCCACTCGTATCCAAAAGCTGCAGAGGTTCATAATATGTCAAAGATTAGACAGTAAGGCTTGAACTTACTTCAGTAAAGATTTAGAGTTCTGCACATATGCATACCGAAAGAGCCAAGAGCAAAAGAGTTGCGGAAGTGGAAACTATCAGCGTCATTAAAACAATAATGTGTCTCCAAGATCGCGAATCAAATAGCTCTGAAAGTTGCACAATGAGGAAAGGAATTAATGTGAGAAGCATGATCCGCGCGCCTTTCTTGGTTCTTGAATCTGTTTCCACACTTGCTTCTGCAGATTGAAAAATAATCCGAAGAATGTCATAAATCTGCAGAAACTACAAAACAGATTTACAATCATGTTACGTACTCACCAAGAAGTCTCTTAAATAGCCCTGGCCTTGGCTTCGTTGGATTCTGTAGGAAGTTGTTACAGACCATGAGATCATTCAAGATTGTTTACTAAGTTTTGGAACTTTTAACAAATTTGCAATCTTTACCTCTTCTTTTTGAACCAGTTGATCACAACCAGTATCAAAAACTCCGGTGGTACCGAAAATGATACAAGCACCCCATTGAATAGTTAGAGCAAAGACCGATGATCCAACCGTTGCTCCAACGAAATCAACAATCATTGACTGAGCAACTTCCGGGCTTGTAGATAGTCCAGTTACTAAAAAGCAAATCCAAGATCCAAGTAAGAAACTTTGATTACAAGTTAAAGATCCAAGAATTTTGAAAAAAAGCTTAGAGAGTGAGACTTACCAAGCATAAGGGCAATTATAGGGAAGATTTTAAGAAGAGGGAAGATGATACCGCCATATAAACCAACCTCAAAGATATCTAAGAGTTCTGCTCTTCCTTTGGACAAGAAATAATCGCCGACAATCAACAAAGACCCGAAGGAGAAGACTTGGAATGCATAGCCGATGACATTTTCTGCACAGGGAAGGAATCCGTATAGGTGTACACAAGCTTCTCTGGTTAGAGTGACGTTAATCTTGGGAGGTTCAGGACTGAGAAACTGTAGTTGATTGTCGAAACCATCAGTGATCATCAATATCGGGTTGTTCTCTGACAGTTTGGGGTCGAGAACACGACAGTTCAGACTAAGAATAGAGGCTAGAAATAGAGAAGTCAGGAACAGAACAAGTTGTGCCATTGGAAGAGAGGAAGCATGGGCGTTGAAAATGAGAATGTCATCGTCAAATATATAACATGGAGTGACCATCGAGGATGTAGAAAAGATATAAGATATTGAACAGAGTACAAGGGATTAAGGGATTATTTACAATATAATCTTTTTCTTACTATTAATTTGGCATTATTGATAAATCTAACTTTCTTGCATTAGAAGGACAGTTGACTTCCCAGAAAAAGTTGTTGCAGACCAAAAAAAAAACACAATAATTAGTCATGAAAAGGTGAAACCAAAAGAAATTCCAAAAGAGATGACAAACACTCTTTGCGAATGTTAGGAGCCTAAAAGAGCCAAAACTTGTACGGAAAAAATGACAAACACTCTGTTATACAATGTGTCATAGAGAATCCTTTGAAATTACCAGTGGCCTCTTCTTCCACGGCCACGGCCACGGCCACCACCACCGTGTCTTCCATGACCTCGGCCTCGGCCTCTGTGACTGCCTCTACCACCACCGTATGAGATTCCCTCAGATGTTTTGTTCACAACCTGATGATTCTGCACACGAGCCTTCTTTGCACCCACATTATTACCGGCTCCATTTGCAGGCCGTTTTCCTCTGTGTTAGAGCCACATGAAACATGCAATACATTAATTTTTTTTCACATTTGGAAAACAAGAAAAGAAAACTGCAAAACTGACAAAGTTGATTTGGCTAGTACCCAGTCGTTGTAGAGGCTAACGGTTTCGTGACTTCTTTCCAAGAAAGAGTAACACTGTTGTCTCCGATAAATGAAGGCGCTTTTGCATGCAATCCCTGTAACATACCAGACAGTTAATGCCAATTACGCATAATTTCCTAGAAAGCAAGGGACAAAAAGAGGTAAGAAGATATGGCTCTGTTTTTCACCTTTGTCATTGCCAATATGTTATTGCAGGTCCTGAGTCCAGTTGTTGCACTCTGCTTCTTCATTTTCTGAAAGCAGCTTCGGTTACATTACACCAGGAAAAAAAAAGACAAGATGGAATGGAGAAAGAAGGAGTGGGGAGTTAGTGCTCTCACCACGCTTGACTTCTCTTCATCTGTCTTAGCAGCCGACATGGCTTTGCTGTGCTCAGACATCCCTTGAGTTAGTTTTTTCATTGTTGCCTTGGTTAGATCCTCAACACTGGTCAATCTGCAACGTCCGCTTTCATTAGAAAAGTATTTTTGAAACAAATTACCAAAAACTATTTCTTACAAAAAGAAAACTGAATCTCATAATTACCTCTCAGTGAATTCCTTGTAAAACTCTGAGAAGTCCTCCCCGAGTCTATCTGATGGCTGCCCGGTCACTATCTTGTAGCCGCACAAGCTGTTTGTTGCATTTGGAGCCTATATGTTCAACAGAAACAGATAAGTAACAAGGAACAAAAAGATACCTGGCCAAGCAACTAAAAATAGTTAGACAACCTTGTGCGCCAAATGATGAAGCACATATAATAGGCACTCGACATATGTGAAGTTCATTTCTTCCCCAGTCTTCCTAGCAGGCATGTACTTCTGAGAGCAGATGGTAACAGTAAATAGTGTTTATATTCAAAATAAGAGACTGCAGTAGAATATAATATACACCAGCGAAATGATAACAGTAAATAATATATATGTCCATAAATTAATTATAAAGATATGAAGACAAGATGAGAATTTGGTGCTTAAGAGGTACCTTTAAGAGCTGAACTATTGAGGGAAGCATCTGACGTGCTACCTGAGCGGTTGTGTATGGTGACATCTCAGCAAGAGCTCTGAGCAAATTAAGCTTCCTCTCCTCTGGCAGCTAGTAAAACAGGATTTGGTAAATATTATGCTGAATAAGAATGCTCACGCATGGAGTATATTATATATTCTACCAAATGAAGGAAGAAGATAGACAAGTGGCAATATTATGTATGAACAAAAGAGTTACATGCAAATTGAGAGTAATTCAGATTTGACATCATACCCTCAATGTCATTAACTAGTCTATTCTTAATATGCCCATAATAATACAAAGAGATCATGCGCAGACAAAACTACTGTGAAACATGTAAACGAAAAGAAAAAAAATACAATGTACCTTGTCAAAATCAGGCATGATATTCTTGTTCAAGTAGCTAAGAAACTTGCTACCTGGAGCACCTCTCTGTTCAGAAGAGGACGAAGTTAGTATGATATATGGTTCAAAGCATCTCAACTAATAAAATGTCCAAAGTTATACGCAGCAATAACTCTGATCCATACCGCAAAGAATGGAAGAGCTGTTTGCAGGCATGATATAAACCTGTCAATATGATCTGTATCTGAAACCTGGCAAAAAATAGTGTTTGAGCATCAGAAGTAGTTCCATGGCATAATAATGAAATCATCTAAATGAATTCTTCAAAAGCCTATACTTTTAACCTTTACTATGACCATACTAGGGTTATAATATTTACGATGCTATCAAAGTTTATGACTCGACTCCTAGAGTCAGATTTGCACCAAGACAACTGCTGACCCCTTCCCTATGTTCATTCCTAGACTGAGCAGTATACTAGACTACAATAACTAGTATGATTTCATGAAAATTTAGAGGCAACTTTCTCACATACTAGTACTACCAATGAGCCCTCATTAAATTTTCACGCAAGATAAACAATGAAAACTAACACATGCAATAATTCAACATGTAAAGATTGTCATTTATAAGCTTTTTGTCGAGAGAGGGTGAAGTCTATGATAGGACAAGTATTAAGCTATGTATCCTTTTAATCTCACAAAGATGCAAAAGACTAGCCAACTTTATTCCCAGATAACGACGACTACTTGTGCAACTAAAAAATCAATAAACATCTTGGAGGAATAATCATTACTGTCATCGTATTAAAGCAAGAAACTTATGTTCACCCCCAGTAAGAATATGACATGAGAAACTCACATTAAACTGTGAATCCAAATCGGCCTGTCCTTCAACAATTTCTACAAGTTCTTGCATTCTTTCTTGAGGAGCTTTTCCTCCAAATATACTCAAACTTGTCAAGAAACCCATAAACATATTGAATTCTTCTCCAGTTACATCACCTAGGCTCTAGAAACAAGCAAAGAACGTCATAAAAGGGATAAGAAAAGAAAGCCAGAAAAATAGAAACAACGAAACTCCATGTGGCCAAAGATATGGACTAACCTTTTTGATCAAATCAGTTATATGTCTTTCCATTTCCTCTTGAGGCTTTAACAGTTCCCCTTTCAGAGGGAACACCTACATGGAAATACAAAATATATTAAAATCGGATATGATATTCAAAACCTTTCAAGTGATTCTTTACGTTCCCATTAGCTTGCATTATCAGAAAAAAATCATTTTACATCTTTTCTATAAGAGATATTTCTCAATGATATACAAACTCTCCAAAACTTCAATAAAAACGACTCCACTAAAAACGTGATAGCTATCAGCACCAGTACCTACTCAAGTTGATTTGGCAGTACATTATGTACTTGGTCTTAGCAATAGACCGAAAAGATTATACACAGTACAAGTCTACTTCATTGTTTATATCAGCAAGCGAAAAGATCAATATAGGTAATTTCAGTAAGTTCAGTCGAGCTAAGATATAGCAAAACAGATAAACAGAAAAAAATGTAAAAAAGACTCTTACCTTATCTCTGATAAAGTGTAAGACCTTTTCACGGATTTGCTCATCAGTACTAAGAGTGGCTTCAGTATGCTTAAACAGTGCAGTCAAAGATGCTACACCAAAAAAATTATAACATAAGAAGCTGTAATTTATACACTTACTATATGCTTAATAAGATGGACTGAGTGACAAACACTATAGATAGCACAATATCTACCATAAGACTGAAAGACAAATTTTAATTTTCTCAAGGACACTGCGGCTGTAAGATGAATTGCCATCTCCAGACAATGAAGATGAATGCAGTAGAAATCAAATTACCCTTTGTATCCTGCCGAAATAATGACATAAATGCCTTGTGCACAGCATCACGCTCCACCAATTCCTCTATTTTGATCACATTACTCAGAGTCAGATAGTGAAAACAAATTAGGTAGATCAAGGTTAGATAACAAAAATCTCAGAATTACCAGTATTTAGACATTGTACAAGAACATCAATTATCTTCGATATAAACTCAGGTGTATCCTTGCAGAACAGTGGAAGCCCGCGGATGGCTTGAACTCGTACCTACAAATAAGAAGAAAATGATACTTTTATATGGAAAAGAACAATACCACAAGCAGAAAACCGAGAATTTTGCAGAACCAGGTCTTTCTCCTCTCGAAAATAAAAATAATTGAGTCCTGACTCATCTCAATTCGTGTGTCACATCAAAACAAGCTATAAAGAACAACACAGCCAGAAATAAACACTACAGTTATTTGAATCCAGCTTAATTCTCCAAAGTGTAACTAATTTTGAGCCATACAAACTAAACGAAGTTCATCTATAATGCACTAGCACACCTACATCTACTTTTTGCTTCTGCATAAATCATATGTGTAAGAAGAATAGGTACATACCCCGACTTCCACTTCGTCGATTATATCCATGTACGCATCAAAAGCTTCTGTTGCGAGACTGGTGAAGAACTTGAAGTAGCGTGGAATCAGCTGTGCTCCAAGCTGCTTGGTCTTGATGTTTGTCTTAGACAACTCGATAATCCCTTCATAGTCTTGAAAATTCTGCAAACCATGAGAATGTCATAGAAAACGATCAAAACACAAGAACAAACCAAGCAAGCCAAAAACCAATCAGACCAGTATCCATTTTCAGAACAATTATACCCAAATCCGAAGCCAAAAAAACTCCTTCTCAAACCAGAGATGATTCAAGAGAACAACAAACAACTAAATCAAACAGAGAATGGCTAATTTCAAATCCAGGACTAAAACAAAACCCTAGGTGAAATAGAGACGAACCTGAGACTTGTCCGTAGACTCGCTCAAACGCTCGTCGAACTCATAAAGCTTCTCGATATGTTTAGCATCTTCTGAATACTGTTCTGACATTTCGGAGAGCTCTAGATGAAGCTGAGACGGAGAAAATCAAAGCAAATGATTATATATACACAGTTGGTTTGCAGAAAACAGAACCTCACACATGTATTCACGTCTTTGTACACATAATAATGAAAAAAAATGCTTCGGGAGAAAGATGAGACCGTACATGGCGATTTTGGAAGAGTGTAGAAGGTTGATAGAGTTCTCTCGCTGTCTCGCAGAGTATGCCAAGGGTTCCTGGGTTTATTGCTCTCGCCCTTATTGTTTTAGCTTCAAGGAGAAAGAGGGGTTTATGTGCCCTTCCCTTAACACGATGTCGTTTTGTTTCAAATTTGAGTTTTGAAAACAACACCTTTATTTATCATTTCTTTCAAATTTGTCCCAGAAATTTACTATAGAGCAAATCAATCAAAAGCACTAGTTCAATGTCTCTTTCGTTGATTTCTGGTTCGATTCTTATCTGCCCCGAGCTTCATCAATCTCCGTCGTATTTGAGAATCTCTTCTTCCCCGCCACTTTCTCTCTCTTCCCCTAGTAAGTCTTCTTTTCCCCACCAGTTTTCTCAAATATCACGACCGATCAAAGTCACCGCGAGAAGCGCCATGGAGACGACGGCGGCGACTATTTCCGGCGGTGTTCCCAACAATACAATGAAGCTATTGTTCGTTGAGATGGGTGTGGGTTACGATCAGCATGGGTACGGTCAAATCTACTCTCGAAATTTCGCGTCTTGAATCGTTCATACCGATGTGAAATTGAATCTTCACGATCTTGAAAAAAATTGAAACAGGCAAGACGTGACATCTGCGGCGATGAAGGCTTGTAAGAATGCAATTTCTTCGAATTCAATTCCTGCTTTTAGGAGAGGTACGAAATAAATATTATCTTGGCTCAACAATGAAAGTAATTCTCTACCAATTTCAAGCCGATATCAATTGTGTTTCTTTGGAAATAGTTGAATTTTATCTGACTTAGTGACATTGAATGTGTTGATGAAGGTTCGATTCCTGGAGTTTCATTTGGAGAAATGAAGTTGCAGATTAAGCTTGGAGTGCCTCATTCTCTTCATCAGCAGCTGGATTTGGAGAAGGTTAAGTCTATCTTCCCATAGTAAGTTTCCCAAGTAACTTCTTTCGTAGAGTTTCTAAACAAAGTTGTTGTCTTTTCACAAGAAACTTGAGTTCTTTGTTTCAAGTACTCTTGTGGAAAATTGGAGTTGAATTGTGTGCTTTGTGCTAGATGTGAGTTACTAATATGGTTTGGAAGTTTGAAGTTGGATTAAGATTGATGTCTAAACTTGTAAACAGAAACTACCATTAGCATTTACTTATTTGATCCTGTATAGTGTTTGTGGGAAAACATCTCTCATTGTGTTACTTTTAGTCTTGGAGTCAGCTTTATCATCTACCATGTTATCACAATCATTACTTCCTTTTTTGTTTGAAGTGGGAAGATTGTTAATGTAGAGGTGGTGGATGGAGGACTGATTTGCTCAAGCGGCGTTCTAGTTGAAGAAATGGGTGATACAAATGAAGATTGCTACATAGTGAATGTCGCGGTCTACGTTGGCTACTAAGTCTCTGTGTTCTTGACTCGTCGACCCCGAGTTTAACAATGTCATCCACATCGATAAGAGAGAGAGCAAATGCAGTTACTTCTAGTTGCATATCTTTATTTCAGAATCAATAATCAATTTGGTTTGTAGGAATCAATATCTCAATTTCAGTTAAAACATAGGTTTGATTTACACTCCATATTTCAGTTAGAGACTCATCAAATGGTTGCAGCGTTTGGTACGGTATAGAAATAATCGCGTTCAAAAGTTAAGATTATGGTGATCACGGATGTAGAGAGAGAAGCGCAGACGGTGGTGATATTACCATATTACGAAAAAATTGAACATGAATAATTCATCTCTCTGATGACAAGAAAAAATGATGACTCAACTCTTTATTTTAATTGATATGTAAATGAAATATCTGAATTACAATTTCTAAAAAACTTTACAACCCAAAAAATAATATGAAGACGTAAAAACAATGTAAAAATTGATCACACGATATTTTACAGGTTCATTGTCGCTCAAACATATATTAGGAAGAGAATATTGAAACAAGAATTGAGTTAAAATTAGTGCTGCTCAATTCTCATAAGAATCTAAATTGAAAATGTGTTTCAGAGGAAGCAAACTTAGGCATGACCACGGTTACGGTTTTATTAACCAGCGGTTACGGTTATAAATTTTTTTTAATTGTAACATTAACCACTGTATATACGGTTAAAACGGTTACGGTTAAATATGGTGACAGTTACAACGGTTACAGTTAAATATAGTTACGGTTATTTGATGATTACGATACCAATAATATTGGAGGCAAAATTTTACAAATTATCCGACCTTTTTTAATAAGATATAAAAATATATTGTAGATCAAATTTTCTTTATTTCGAGTTCGAGCAATGTAACATTACAACATAGTTGTTTGAGAAATACTATTTTCTTTATCATAGACTTTTTTTATATGCGGTATCATTTTCAATTATACACAATTACAATTATATTTGTAAGGCTTTAATTGTGTGGTTAACTGACGGTGTTGATATGGTTATGTTTAATTAACGGTTACAGTTAGTATATTTTTTAACCATAGCTAATATATTTTTACGGTTGACGTTTAGGATTTTTAGAAACAGTCTGAAATACGGTTACAGATAGTTTTTGGTCATGCCTAAGCAAACTCAATGTGATCGTGAATTTGTGGAATTTATGTGCTCGTGAAGTTGTAGAGTTTGTTTTTGTTTGTTTATTTTAGCATTTTTATTGTATTTTTGCATATATTTAAATTAATATTTTTTCTTGTTTATGATTAATTAACGTGATCGTTAATTTGTCGAATTTATGTTATCGTGATTTTATGGAATTTACGTGATCGTGAAGTTGTGGAGTTTATTTTTGCATTTTTATTGTATTGTATTTACTTGTTGCTTGTGTATTTAAAATAATGTTTTTTTTATTGTTTATGATTAATTTATGTGATCGTGAAGTTGTGGAGTTTATTTTAGCATTTTTTATTGTATTTTTGCATATGTTTAAAATAATGTTTTTCTTGTTTATAATTAATTAACTTGATCGTGAATTTGTCGAATTTATCTTATCGTGATTTTATGGAATTTACGTGATCGTGAAGTTGTGGAGTTTATTTTTGCATTTTCATTGTATTTTGTATTTACTTGTTGCGTGTGTTTTTAAAATAATATTTTTTTGTTTGTTTATGACTAGTTTATGTGATCGTAAAATTTAATGTTTTTTTTATTGTTTTGGTCGTGTTATACGTTTTCGTGCGTTTAGTGTTTTTTTTTTGGTTTGTTTCGAGTGTATGGAACATTTTTGGGTGTGTGTTTTCTTTACGAGGGAGAGCAAGAGAGTGTTACCTTAACTCAGTTACGTCATCCAAGAGTCACTTGTTCTTGGCTACACCATGATTCTTTGCTGCTCCTAAAAGTTAGAACTTTTTGTTATGTACTTTGAGCATAGTGAAAGTGTGGAAACATATCAAAAAAGATAATCACAGGATAAAATTTATACAACAAGTTATAGCCGAGAAATAATTAATGAAACTTACTATACTCAGGCGAGGTTGCTTCTCATTCATACTTTTAACCTGAACAAAAGTAATGCTAAGTAAATGAATTTCACATCCGTTGAAAATCATGAAACTTATAACTCAAGAGTCTCAGAAATACCAATAAAAATATAATAAAGAAACAAGTTACCTTAACATGACAATGCTTGGCTCTCCCATATTCACAAGACTTTTAATTTTTCACTGACGTCTTGAAGTGTTGTTAGTCCTAAAATAACTTAGCGAATAATGTTATACGGATATTAAACAATAGAAAACACAGTCGTTATAATCTTTGGCCAACATTCTAAGAAACTACTTTACCAAACAAAAGCTTACCTTCTTCAAGTTTCTTACCAACTCTTTAATAGATACATCAGCAGGCTCACACTAAGTTATACTCCTGCAATACACATCAATAATGAACAATGTCTACATCAAACAGACAAAACCACACAACTTAATTTGAGAAAGCATGTAATAAAACACTACCATTCTCATTCTCTAATCTTGAGGCAGAACCGGTGGGAGCTATCCTTTGAAAATAGAAGATTAGAACTACACCCCTGAATACTTGGAATATATATTAAACTCACATTGGTTCGACTAGCGAAGAGTATAAAATGATGGAAAAAGGTTTAACATGATTACCTTATCATTCATGGGTACGTTGAAACGCATCTGAGACATTTCCTCTTTCTCATGAAACCATTTACAAAGAAATAAGTTAATAGAAGCTATTCTAAGGCAATAGATTAAAAAAGAGTAAGAAATAAGGAACAGTCACAAAGCAAGTTCTTGAAATCAAATGTGATTATCCACACTTTTGGTTAAAGAATTTCTGTAAAAGTTTGTTTTCTGTTTTGGAAGTTGTTTGGACGTTCTGTGCTATGTTTTGTTTTTGTGTGTTTGAATTTCGTTGTGTCTTAGTGAGTTTAAGTTGTTTTTGTGTTTAACTTTTTTTGTGTGCATTTGAGCGTGTGTTTTCGTGAGTTTAAGTTTGTTTTTGTGTGTTTGAATTTCGTTGTGTTTTCGTGAGTTTAAGTTGTTTTTGTGTTTTGATTTTTTTTTGTGCATTTGAGCGTGTGTTTTCGTGAATTTATGTTCAGTTTTTGAGACAGTGCAAGAGATATGATAAGGGAGAGAGAGAGCTACTTAATCAATCACCATACCTTTGAATGGTCTTCAGATCTTTTTTGCAGCTAAACACTCCTTCATCTTGAAACCCTTTGTCAAGAGTTCTTTGCAGCTTAAGAAATCTCTTAACACCAAAGAACCCTTGTTAATAATAAGAAGCAACTTAAAAATAAAACGAATATTTAACAGGAAGAAACATGGTACCGTCAAATCAAATTACCTTAAGAGGATGTACGAAAAGAATGCTTGGCTCTCCCATATTCACGAGATTTTGGCCATCTTATCACCGAGGCTCAAGATCAGGATTCCGTTAATGTCATCCACAACCTTTTTTCTGTGCATATTATGCTGATTCCCCTGATCAGAAAATAATTACCCAATAGAACTGAAAATACAATGAAAACAGGTTCTGTCAAAAAGACAGGAACCATAACAAGTACCTGGTCACCAAATTTCGTAGCACCCTGGGGAACCAGAACAAGATCTTTTCTACTGCATTGACCTGGACAGTCGCAGAGGCCTTTATTTTCCAGAAACTTGTCCATATCCGCAATTAGAGGCCATACTCGAACACCACCTTCAAGCACTATTCACCATCATAAACAAACACATCAAAATCTGATCCACAAAAGTACCACAAAAGATGGCACCATCATAAACAAACACATCATAATCTGATCCATAAAAGTACCACAGAAGATGGCAAAAATGGGTTATCGAAGCAGCTAAGAAAATCATGAATATGTTTGAGGCACTTTGAACTTTGCGGGCATTGTTTAGTTAGGTACCTTTTCCTGGTAATTGTTTAGTGACTGCATTCCTACAGAGATATGCGAATTTTCAGCTGCAAGGCAAAAAAAATTATCTTTAGCAGCAATATCTCAATTGAGAATTCAAAATTAAAGTTTGCGATAGTAGAGGAAGGTGCAAACTTTTGTCTCAGGATCCTTGACTTTGGTGACAGTCTCGCGGCAAGCCTCATAGTTTCCTAGATGGAATTCTGAAGCAAGGGCTGTCACTTCTTGACAGAGGTTAAGCTTTTTGCAGAATTGGTCTGATTTGACTATAGACTTGTGTGAAGAAAAGCTCGGTATAATGATCTACCATAGAAAGACATTGCATTACACACATAAGGGCAGAGTTAACATGTAATCACTAATCAAAAGAAAGAGAACCGAAGAGCTGAGAACAATCGAGAAAGAACCCACAAATGTCAATGTTTAATCTTACTGACTGGTTCGAGAACAATCGAGTTTCGAGCATCACAAGACCATGTCAACCCCAAGAGGGGTTAGGAGTAGGACTCCAATCTACCGCCCATGGTTCCTCCAGAAACTATAACCACTACATAATCAAAACCGATTCGGAGATAGTCAAATTTAAAAAGCCTTAAACATTATGGAGATAACCAGAATAAACAAGTACCTGGGAATCAGAAGAGGACTCTTCCCTGCAAGTTAGACATCAATTCGTGGAATGTGAAGTTTTTTGTTCCTAGTGTTGAGTTTTACTGTTTGAGTTAGATTTTTTCTGTGATTGAGCGTGATTTGTGTTTGTGTTATGTTTTCGTGTGTTTAAATTTCGTTGGAGCGTGAATTTGTGTTATGTTTTCGTGTGTTTAAATTTCGTTGGAGCGTGAATTTGTGTTATGTTTTCGTGTGTTTAAATTTAGTTGGAGCGTGAATTTGTGTTTTTGCCATCTTTGATCTATTTTTGGGATAAAACAATATGGAAAAAATACATGGTGAACAAGCCACAGGCCAGAGGACTAGTCTGTGGCCAGTTTGTGGTAAGAGAGAGAGATACTTACCTTAGCCCTTGTATGCAGAAACTTTTGGTCTTTGCAGCTTAAAGAATTTTTCTTTTGAACGTGAAGTACCTGATCAATAAAGTCTGCAACAAACACAGAGATTATAAAACTAACTATGTTCTTTATGGAATATTCTGGCTATCTAACTATGTTCACGAGATACTCCAAGAATAAAGTTTACAATTTCTAATCTGACCCTTTCGCAAAATTAACTGTTGCTAACAATTGAAATGGAGATATGAAAAACATCTTATGAGTACTGTAGTTATTTCTAAGCTTTGGTACTATCAAGTCTAAGAACTATCGTGTTTCTAATCAGATATTAGCTTGTAGACCTTACCTTGGAAGCTTTTTTGAACAACTATCCTTATCCTCTCTTCTGCGATAGGCTGATCAGCGAGCTTTATTATGTTTTCCTTCAAGTTTACAAATAAATTACAGTTATTGGAAAATAATGAGTAATAACTCTTGTCTTTTCTACACAATTCTTACTCAAGAATACACGAAATTGAGCCACAAAACAGCGTTCAAAGTTTTGAATTAGCAAAAGTGATTATGAGATCTGAGACATGAAACTGAACCACCAAAGACCAAACGTACACAAATGCATCGGCTGTGGCACATGATGATAGTTGAAACAAACAGAGACAAATCATCACAAATAGTTGTAATTCGCTAAGATTCTCACAATTATCAAATCAAAACACATGCAACTAACGCTATTCAAAACCCTAAAAAGGTTGATTATATATATTTAATCTCTCAAAAACTAGAGATAAACAGAGATAATACGAAGATCATCATCACACTGATTCTTCTAGATCGCTAAGAATAGGGTTTATACCTGAGAGATTTGTGCGTTTGTGTTCAGCGATCGAAGAAACGGACCCAGATTCAATCACACGCTTCTGTTCTGGAATAATCGGAAGAGAATTTTCGAAGAAATCAAATGATCGGCTGTGGAACATGATGATAGTTGAAACAAACAGAGACAAATCATCACAAATAGTTGTAATTCGCCTGATGATACGAAGATCGTCATCACACTGATTCTTCTAGATCGCTAAGAATAGGGTTTATACCTGAGAGATTTGTGCGTTTGTGTTCAACGATCGAAGCAACGGACTCAGATTCAATCACACGCTTCTGTTCTGGAACAATCGGAAGAGAATTTTCGAAGAAATCAAATGATCGATGAATCAAAAAGAAAGTTAAAATCTTGGAGAGAAATGGAATGAATAGTTCGTGGAGAGAAAAAAGAAAGCGCTTGTATTTGTGGTGGTTAAGCCAATTAATATCTAATTACGAAAATGCCCTTCTTAATTCCGTTTAATCATTTGGATTCAAAATTGAAAATGAGAATTTTCCCCCCTAATCTGAATAGTTTTGTCCGTTAAAACTTAAAACTCTTTACAAAATTCAAACGTACATTTCGAATCACATGGGCTAATATATGATTTGTCAATACCGCGTTGTTTTAGTGTGGTTTCCGGTTTGTTTTGTAAACCGAGATTTAAAATAAAAATATTATGCCCTTCCCCTAAACGATGTCGTTTCGTCTCAAATTTGAGTTTTGAAAACAACACCTCTATTTATCATTTCTTTCACATTTGTCCCAGAAATTTATTATAGTGCAATTTAATCAAGCAACTAGCTCAATGTCTCTTTCGTTGACTTCTGGTTCGATTGTTATCTGCTCCGAGCATCGTCTCCGTCAATCTCCGTCGTATTTGAGAACCTCTTCTTCGCGGCCACTTTCCCTCTCTTCCTGTAGTAAGCAGCTTTCTCTCCACCAGTTTTCTCAGATCTCACGTCAGATCAAAGTCGCCGCGAGAGGCGCCATGGAGACGACGGCGGAGACAGTTTCCGGCGGTGTTCCCAACAATACAATGAAGCTATTGTTCGTTGAGATGGGTGTGGGTTACGATCAGCACGGGTACAGTCAAATCTACTCTCGAAATTTCGCGTCTTGAATCGATCGATCATACCGATGTGAGTGAATTTTAAAAATGTTGAAAAAATCGAAATAGGCAAGACGTGACATCGGCGGCTATGAAGGCTTGTAAGAATGCAATTTCGTCGAATTCGATTCCTGCATTTAGAAGAGGTACCAAAACTCTCCTCCTTATGAGAATGTTCTGAAACAGTCTATATATTACTCTTTGCTCAACAATGAAAGCAATTTTGAACAGAAACCAAATGGTTTCTTAGGAAATAGTTGACGTTTAACTTGACTTAGTGACGTTGAATGTGTTGGTAAAGGTTCGATTCCTGGAGTTTCATTTGGAGAAATGAAGTTGCAGATTAAGCTTGGAGTGCCTCATTCTCTTCACCAACAGCTGGATTTGGAGAAGGTTAAGTCTATCTTCCCATAGTAAGTTTCCCAAGTAACTTTTTTCGTAGAGTTTCTAAACAAAGTTGTTGTCTTTTCACAAGAAACTTGAGTTCTTTGTTTTAAGTACTCTTGTGGAAAATTGGAGTTGAAATTTATGCTTTGTGATAGATGTGAGTTACTAATATGGTTTGGAAGTTTGAAGTTGGATTAGGATTGATGTCAAAACTTGTAGACAGAAACTACCATTAGCATTTTCTTATTTGATACTGTATAGTGTTTGTGGGAAAACATCTCTCATTGTGTTACTTTAGTCTTGGAGTCAGCTTTATCTACCATGTTATCACAATCATTCGATCCTTTTTTGTTTGAAGTGGGAAGATTGTTAATGTAGAAGTGGTGGATGGAGGACTGATTTGCTCAAGTGGCGTTCTAGTTGAAGAAATGGGTGATAAAAATGAAGATTGCTACATTGTAAATGTCGCAGTCTATGTCGGCTACTAGTCTATCGTTCTTGTATGGTCGACCCCGGGTTTAGAGCATGGTCATCCTCGTCGATAGAAGAGAAAAACGAGAACACTTCAGTCAATTTTAGTTGTATATTTTGATTTCAGAACCATTTTTGGTTTGTAGACGTGCATCTATATCACAATTTCAGTTTAAACATTGGTTTGACTCACACTCATATTCTGTAAGTGGAGTGTCTTACAGACTCAGTAAATGGTTGCAGCGTTTGGTGCGGTCTAGTAATAATCGCGTTTGGTGCGGTCTAGAAATAATCGCGTTTGCCTCAAATCTCAAAAGTCCGCGGGAAAGTTTTCCCTCCTTAAACCTAGAAAGTTTTTCTACCAAAAAAAAACCTACAAAGTTTTATAGCTAAGCATAAGCATTGAAACTTAAAAAAAAAAATTGCAGAGAAAAATGAAAGGGAATAAGAAGATTAGTTCGATTTTCGAGAATCGCCATGTATCTGCGTCTCAGGAGGTTTATCTACAGCGATGCGGCTTCGCCGTACCAGGTCAACCACCTCCAGATTCCGATCCCTCCGTCGGAGTCTCGCCACCACCGTTAAATGACGAAATTGCATCTCAGCGTTCGTCCGATGATTCGGAGACGGATAGTGTAATCGGTTCGGGTCACGATGCGGTGGAGAGTCAGGCGATTAGGTTAGTCTCTCCGGAGGAAAGCGTGGACACCGTTGATTTAGAGGAAGATGTTGCAGATCGGACGGTTGAGGTTTTGGCGGAGGATAAGCAGAGTGATGTTCCTCTGGAATCAGAGAATCGTAGAGATGAGAGGTTGGAATCTGCAGCGAAGGAAGATAGAGGAAAGAAACTTAAGATTCCTTTGAGAGATGTTGTAAAAGCCATTGTTATGAATTCGAAGAACACAGAGGAAGAAGAAGAAGCAGACAAAGAAATTAAGAAGATGAGCTGTGTTCAAATCCTCTTGCAAAAGGGATTCAAATTTTAAGGTGATTTCAATTGAAATTTCAAGTGTGTTTGTGTTATCTAGGGTTCTTCAATGTCAGTTTTTCTGTGTGAGTAGAAGTCATGATCTTACTCTTGTGGTTCTTGACGAATATGTGAATGTAAATGGTGTTGTTTCTTGTAACAATTTGAATATCAAATCAGAGAAAAGTGTCGTAATCGCTATTCGCTTTGCGTTGTTTTGCTCTTCAATCAGATTAAGCAAAGAGTTACCAAATCAATGTGTTATTTATACTGAGAATGTCTCTTTTGTTTTTTTTTTTGGGCAAACGAGAATGTCTCTTTTGTTATGAATCTTTTGTTCTATTGCATCACACAACACTAGACGATTTACGATAATTTTTTTGTTTCTCCCTTCCAAGAATGTCATTTACAGAATAAAGGTGTTATGCACTTTCTTTATAGTTGTGATTCTTATACTTCACATCGTAAGGGCTGCGTAGAGGAGTTGGTTCCATGTATCAGGCAACCCGGGGAGGCACCAATGGCTACAATCTGTTCCTCCATCGCCACCATAAGAAGAAGGATGAGCATCTTTTCTCAACTGGGACAAAGTGGTGATATCGAGCAAGGTCACTGGCTTTTTCATCGAATTCAACACTTTGGACACAACTCCCGCTGATGGAGGCTGACCACTTGGGTAACTTGATCCACCCAACGGCTGCATTTGCCCACTACAACTCTTCCTTGGCTCGTTCCATTCCCTTCCCCTGTCACCCACAAGAAAGACATTAGTCGATATAGGTTTAGGGTAGCTATTTTCTCAAACTGCATGTGATGACATAATTAGATCTCAATTGTTTGTTTGCGTTTGAAACAATTGAAACTCTAGTGGACTTACTCGTAATGAGTGGGAGAAATGCCTTGGAAGAAAACTCGAGTTTTAGTAGTATCGACGTTTTGATCAACCCATCGAGCCCATGTACTGAGTCCTTTGTAGAAAGCATCAAGACGGTTCATGTCTCTCACCAAAGATGACCCATCTCTAATATAATCCCACCTAAATTCAAACAACAACAACAAGAAAAAGAGAAAGATTTAACATTAAGTTATGAATGATATATATTTTGGGTTTAGATTAAAGATGTTATATTGATAGTACTACGGACCCTTGAGATTGGCCTTTATGAGTCCACCAATGCCAAGAGTTGAAGACAAGAACGTCCATGTTTTTCCAAGCATCAGCACCTCCTTCAACAGCTCCAAGGTTAAGCACACGCCCTACTCTCTCTTTGGATATATCCACTATGTATGGCGTTCTATATAGGTGTAACGTTACTCCATATTCCTGATTAAATTCATAACAATAAAAAAAATAACATCAGATTCTATGTTGCATGGAAACTCCATTCGAGGTGCGTTTCCCGTTTCGGAAACGTTTCGGAATCGGAAACTCTCGGAAACGCGGAGAAACGTCATAGAAACGCGTTTCCTAAAAAAGTCAATTTGGAAACGCGATGGAAACGTACGTTTCCAGAAACGCATCGGAAACTTATTTTATTTTTTTGACACATAATTTTAGAAATATAAGAATATATTATATATATTTATCTTTAAGAACCTAATTAGTATAAAGAATATGAAACACATATTCTTTTTATCTTTGATCACAAAACAGCCTAACCTAGATAGTCTTATTTTTTGGTTTTGAGTCTTATTATCTTTATTTTAGTTAGACTAGTTAATATTTCTATTATTTGATTTATGTTATTTAAAATATATTTTGATGTTTAGTGTCTCATATAAATATTATATATATATATATATATATATATATATATATATATATATATACACGTTTCCAAAACGTTTCCATTTCGTAATTTTCTTAAAAATTCGTTTCCGCGTTTCCACACGTTTCGCTTCCGTGTTTCCGTTTCCGTTTCCATGCAACCTAGATCAGATTCGTTCAAGATTTTATAAGAATATTCAAAATATTTAAGGAAGAGAATTATTAAATGAAAGAAAGAGAAAAAGGGTCACAGAACAATGAGAATAGTAGTAAAAAGTAGACAGAGGGAACAAGAAAGAACAAGTTGGACTGTTGGAGTTGTTAGTGTACCTTTACGTATTCACTTGTTTTTATTGTTATTTCTGGTAAAACGTTTTTGAATTATTAAAAGTAATACCAGGAATAATAACATTTAAGAATAAAAGAGACAAAATTTCATAGCATAGTGGTAAATAAATAGTGTATGATTTTATATATTTTAATCATTAAATAAATAAAAAGAAAAAGAGTTTGGAGAGCCATAGCTTTCTTCCATATCAAGTGAAGTAGACAAGTCATTTCATATTGTTTTCAGTTTCTTAATTGATAAATGATGAACTAGTTTGCACAAAAATGGTAAACATAACAATAGCTTTCGAATGAAGAAAAACAAATAAAAGTTTGCACGAAATAAGAAAATTTTATATGTTTCTATCGAATCTTCTATACTTATTAATACTTCCGGTATATATAGATGAAGAAAATAATCAAATAATGCACTAATATTACTTTCTTTTTATTCAATATATTAAGCAAGTGGATGTGATCGAACACTAACAACAACCATATGTTAATAAGCATTATTAGCACCAACCAGCTTTTTCAATTCTTTTCTAAATGACGAATAAATCATATAGTCCGTGACTAATAGTACCATTTTCAATATTAATGACAGCCAAATTCAATTTTCGTTAATGACAACTAATCCTCGTGAAGATTGATAATTAGATTTTTGGTTTTATCCAAAGAACAACACAGATTTTATAAAAATATTTTTAAGAAACAAAGAAAGAGAGACCTGGAAAGTGAGAGTAGAGAGTGGGGTACGCTTGAGAAAAGTGGTCTTGGCGTTTGGTACCGACGCATGTATCATACAAGCCAACGATTCCCACATGTTTAAACTCAGTGAGTCTCCGACGAACATGACTCGTTTTCCTCTGTATTTCCTCAGAAACTCCCCACCGTTGAACCTAATTACGTAATTAACAATTCATCATTATGCATTTCCATATATATTAGTTTAATTTAATACAGCTTGATGGTATCTTTTTTTTTTTTAACTATTCTTGATAACACAAAATAATAGTAATCAACTTAATCACTTTTGATATAATATATTAATATAAACACTCCTTTTTCATTTTTAAGAAGAATATAAATGAAATGCACTATAAACCACGTTTCTTTAAACAAAGTGCATGTAACCATATCAACACCAACCTCTAGTAATTATACAGTATATGTATATATATATAGGAAAAATATATTTTTAAAATAGTAATAATTGTGCTAACTCATGCAAAGATCATGAGATTTTCGAAATATTCTCCAATCAAAATTCTTGTTAACTAAAGTGGTTTATCTCAATTTGATTGTTTAGTTAATTAAAACATTTTGAATTATGCAAAGAGTGAAGTTCTAAGTAAATTAAGTAGAAACCTTGGGATGGTGCAAGATTCAGGTTGCCAAGAGTACTTGAGGAACTGTTTGTCTGGTCGGCCGAACTTGAGACAATCAAACTCGCCGTCGATGAAAGGACACGTAGACGAATCATAGAAAGGGTAAGAAGCATCGAATACCCATCGGCCTTGGAACAAGTTACATCCTGATGCTCTCCTCTGCTTCTTCCCTCTCAGTGACGACCTTCCACCGTCAGCCGTGCTGTTGCGGCCAGTCACGAGGAGTGTTTTGTCGGAAGCAAAGGCCTGCTCGGCTCCCGACAAGATTGTGACTATTAGAAGTGGAAGAAAAAGAAGGAGGAGAGAGATGAGTTTGAAACCCATCTTTTTGTATTAAACAAATATCACAGGTTTTGGGTTTTTGTGATGAAGCTTGTATGATGGGTTCAAGCTTTTATACACCCATTTGTGTATATACATACATATAATGATAAAAAGTTTGTGTGCATATTTCTTAATGTGATTAAATAAATATTTGTATTTTAATGTACACAATTATGTCAATTATGAAACCCAAGCTGGTGGCACGGTTAGGTGATCTCGACTCTAATGCTAAGGACGTACGTACATTTGTTATAGTTTTGGCCTTTTGGGTTTGATTTTACCGTGTACATTAAAAACTCGATGTTCCAGTTAATCAAATATATATATATAACTACTCAATTTTGAGTTTTGAACCAATAATTTATTCCAAAAACTGAATATTATCTGTCTTAGGACATGTTTATTACAAGATTAATTAAACGACGAATATAACACATGATAATAATAACTATTATTAAGAAGAAAAAAACTGCTTAGCTTTTGTTGTTCTATTTTTTAGGTGTGAAAGTATGTTCCTAGAAAGCTTCACAAACTTGCATTATGTCGTTGGTCTTGTTACACAACAAAATATAATCCTTTTTCTTGTAGAGAATGACATTAAATTGACATTCGAAAGATGTTGAGTCCATCTCAATGATTAGTTTTAGTCTTAAATCAGCGCTATGAATGTTACTTAATATGAGACGAAAGCAAAGTAATTAATATAGCTAATTAGGTACATATAAAGCATCTATATGTGGTAATATTAAATTAAAAGACTAATCATGCAAGTATATGTCAAGCTTCTAGCACTAATTACCAACTTAAACAAGTGCTAACTTTCTTTCGCTATTAAAATGTTATAGGGAAAGACATTCGGGATCTGATAATAGTCGGCATCGACAGTGTATTTTATAATCGGCGTAGACAGTTCATGTAAAACTTTTGGTTCAATTGTTTTAAGAGACAGAATCAGTTTTTAGAGTAGAAGACAAATATGAGTTTTCACCGTCGTGGGTACACAAGTCACATGAAGAAAACACGTATGTTGAGTAGTGGATTATGTAGCATTATGCATAATACATGTGTATGGGTTTGTCTATGGCACAGAGAAAGATCATGGAAGGATATGGCAAAGACTCATGAGTGGAAAGTGGTGCAGGCTTTGTCTTCCTAGGGAATCTAAAAATCTTTTCCTAGCAAATTTCTAATACTCTTTTTAAAAAACTTGTTTCTGTACACAGATAAATTCCAACAATTTAAATGATGAATAACAAAACCAATAAATTATAGTAATTGTTTTCTTAGCATTACGTGATAGATATATACTCTTACATACCTCGCCAACCTCAATAATCATTTGGATTAGTGGTCAAAACATTATTCACTTATCATATTTTAAGACTTACTTGCATTTTCTTTCTGTCGGAATTAAAATAAATTTGAACTAAGTCTTACTCCGAGTAGTTGTTTTTGACAAAAAAAAAAAGGTCTTAGTTGTCAAGCTATTTAAATATTTTTTCTACCATGAATTATTAGTTGGTAGATGTTTCATATATACGAGATCTTATATATGTCGCATGCAAAATATATCTGAGTTCAATAATTAATAAAATAAACAATTTTAATTAACATCGATTATTCAAAAAAAAGAGTTTAGAATGTAAGATAGATTAGATGTAATTGATAATAATTAAAAGCCAATCATGTGAAATTGAGGCGTAATCATATTATGATGTCAAACTTTACCAAGTTCAATAGAAATCACTGATTTTCAGATAAAAGAAAACAGAATTAAGTGAAAATTTTAGACATGCTCACATGCATGCATTATTATTATTATAAGGTTAATTCATACAGTATTAATTAATTTCGGTAGTTGTAGACTCACTAAGTGAAAATGTTTTGTAAAAAATTCATATAGTTGTTGCCCATTTCCTTTAAAATAGGGTATAACCTATTTCATATAATTATTCTTCCATAAATTGTTGAAACAAAGTTTTCTATATTAATCTATATTCCTCTGACGATATAACAAGTACATATTTATCTAAAAGAGTAGACTATTTTCTTGGGGCAAAGGTTCCACGAACGAAGAGAAAAAGGTTTATATGGACCGTGGACATTCCGTTGGTCTGCAGGTCACGGGGACAATTTAATCATTTTCATCAACCTTCACATGCTTTTACGCCATCTGCTGTGAGATCACCTTACTCTATTTTATGTCAATACAAGATTTGGACAGTACGAGACAGCTATTATTTGGATGTTTCTTAGTATTAGTATTTGTTTAGAATCATGCTTACTTTGATTTAGTGTTTTAGTATGCGACTAACGAATATTTAACGAGATTTCACATATTGTACAAAAGAAATCACCTTGTATTTGAAATTTCGTTTTTACTATACTATATACGTGTAAAAAATAATCTTAACTATCGAATCTATAGAGATAAAAACATGGTACTTATTAGAATTAGATAATGTAAATTGAATACATTTTCCTAAACCTATTAATATTATGGAGGGTTCTATTATTTAAGAGGTGATATGAGAAAATATTATTAATCAGTCATATGATATTCTGATTGATTTTGTTCCAAAATAAACATTCTTCCTTTCCTGAGTTCATTATATACAATGTGTTTTCTATTAATAAAAAAAGACCAAATAATTTCTTTGCTGTCAAGCAAACATTAAAATTGTATCAACCAATCATTCCCCTGCCAAGTGCTACCAATCATATTATATTATTATATATTGCCGAATCATTTCGACTGTCATCCTTAAGCAATGTTTTCAGTTTTGATTTCTTAGCTATTTTATGACATTTTCGATAGGATTTTGGCTATTTTTTTTTCTTTTCATTTCTAAAATCCGGGACTCGCTTTAATATAAAATGAATTCATTCAAATAATTTGACTATACATTTTTAGGCAACCCAAACTGACATAGTGAATATGATAAGAAAATTGTTGTTTTCGTGTTACGAGATTCGACTTTAAGTTCAATGTTACATTTAGAATCAAGTACTCTATATATATTTGCCACAAATATTATCAAATACAAAAATTTATAAAGCAAATAATACAAAATATCCGGCTACAAAAAACCAAAAACAAAAAAATGTTTTATAAATTTTCGGACATAACAATTTTTTTTTTTACCGTAATAGCCCATTCGAAGAGTTGTAAGTAATTCCACTTAGCATTTTTTTGATGTTTCTCAAACCTTTTCTAAACTCACTAAATATCAGATTGAGTTTCACATGTTGGCGAAACCTAGAACTAAACTCACACTTCTTCTTTCATAAAATTTCATCTCTCACACTAATCAAGTTATATCATTCTAATTTGAATTTTGCCTCAGTAATTATATACCACCTAGTCGCGTTCTTTAGTAATCCAGCATCCACGACGTTTTCTAACGAGCAAATTCCTTCAAAACTAAACTTATCTGTGAATTTTAAATCGCTTTAACTATCTGATTAGATCAAAATGAACTTCCTGTGTAAAATCTCTTTTGTATGGTTGTCAAGAAAATATAAAAAAGGTAATCTTTGGAACGTTATCGGTTTAAACAAACATCGTCGTCATCTTGAGTTTAAACAAACATCGTTGTCGGTTTTGTGAACGAGAGATTGTGAAGGAATCTTTAAAGGAAGTGTTACGTTTGCAAATGTTGACACGTATAGAATTTGGGTAATTCATCTATTTTGTCTACGTTATTTGTTGCAAAGTACGTGGAATATTTAGTTCTCGAAAAAGATTTATAAGAATTAGAGTTCGTACTATTGTTTGTCTCTCTGTGTCACGGACGGGCGGCTCTCGTGAGACTTTATATAGTTTATATAACGGACAAAAAGAACTATATGGTCTTAATATAAGCATGAGAAGAATCATTGATGAATTACACACATTGATATTCAAACATGTTGTTTTGAACCATCGGGTATTGTCAATTTTTGAAGGATTTGAGTGGTTATTAACTTATTATGATTAAGTGGAGAAATGTCACAAAATGTTATCTTTTATAAACATGGTGAAAATATTTTTACAAACCAAACATGGTGAAAGTACTAGATCTAGCTCTTCTGTTTTTTTTTGTTTTTCTTTCTAAATCCGGCTTCCCCGGTTTTACTAGTCTAGTAATTTAACTAATATCATATAGTTAACATAAATAAATATACAGGTTGGAAAAAACAAGAAACACCTCAGTCCAAGTGCACCATACAGGTCCGAACTATATTGGTCAACTAAAATACATATGAAATAGATGGGCCGTTTGGGTCCCATGAGGCTCGTTTATGGGGTCCACACACGTTGCTCCAATGAGTGGGTTTTGTTTGGTGGCCAATGTTGCTTCTAGGCAATGCTTACCCAAGTTCCGTATCCACTAAAACATCTATTTTTATATATTTGGAAATTGCATTGGATCAATCATTTCACGTCTTCTAATTTATTTTCTTGTATAGGAATCAAATCATAAAATTGGATGAAGGTGTTTGGTTTTTTACTTTTTTTGTTTATAAGATTTTATCATGTTGTTATAGAGTTAGAGAATCCAGTGGAGATGTCAAGGTGGATTCAACTAAAGTTTTGTTCATGCGCGTTTAACTTTATTATTGGATGTTTAGGTCATGGATCCATTTTCATTAGACTAAACTTTTTCTGAGCCACTACGAAATTTAATTATATAAGTGTATACATACTCTAAAAATTAAAAGATGAATGTTAATGATTTATGCAACTGCAAATGGATGTGACAACGACAATTTCAGTTGTTTTAATGTAAATTAAATACAAAAAGCACAATGCATATAACTTATCAAAAGAACGTAAATATAGAAATCATATTTAGTCTGTTCGTTTCGTCGCCGCAGGCGGCAGCGGCAAACATTAACGCAGGTTGTTGTTCGTTTCGTCGCCGCAGGCGGCTGCGGCAACCGCAGCTTTTAATCGTTTGACGCTGACTTTAATTAGCGTCCAAAATTTTGAGCCGCAGAACGCAGCGTTTGCCGCAGCGTTATGCCGCAGGTACCTGCGGCGACCAAACGAACAACCTCACCTGCGGCTGCCGCTGCCGCAACTACCTGCGGCGACCAAACGAACAGACTTAATATTAATAAATACCAAATAACAATTTCATAAGAACTATAAAATTAAGGATGTTTAAAATATTAACCCTAGAGGCCTAGACCATAAACTGAAAGAACCATATAAAAGAAAAAATAATCATAAATAATTTGAAATATATACAAAAGTAGTTTTGTAAAATATAAAATAATTTCAAGGATTAATATATAGATGGATATAAATATAATTTATAATTAATAGTTTTGTATAAAAACATTTTCCTAATAAGTGTGCATAACAGAAGTAGATCATATACAAGAAATAATGGCCACTATTTTGCATCATTGTAGAAGGATATTAGGAGAGATTCTTTTGCAATTCCAGATTGGCTGGCTGTGTGCTAAACATATGTCTTTTAGATAAGATATGTCTTCCTTCATACAATAATTTCATAATTATCATTATAGATAATCATATATATGAAAGGAGGTGAACTCTCTCCAGTTTTGTGACACGTCAGCAAAGGAGAGAGTGACACGTGTCCATTCAAATAAATAAATAACCTTACCTTCTCGCCTCCTCTTTTGCGTTTTATCTGACCATTTAGGTTAAAACCAGACTACAACATTCATTGATCAATGGCAACGCTGTCGAGAAGACTTGATCGCTCTCTTTTCTCCAATCTTTGATTCTTCGAGCTTCCATGTCTATCGGCACCAATAACATCCGATTTCTGCATTAATCACCATTTGATTCAAAGACTTCAGATCCAATTTCTCGATTTTCTGGAGAAGAACGCGTGATCGAAGAGCGACCACTAGAAAATGACCTTGACTCTCCCATTTACAAGGTAAAAACGTAGGTTCTAAATTCAATTGACACATATGGTTTTTAGGGTTTTTAGTCGTCATATATCCATTGGATGATATCCGTTTTTTTTTTTTGTGATTCTTGAGTCGATCGGATCACCGTCGCGGTGATCCTTTTTACTGATTCTAACTTTTGATAGTTTTGGACTGTCTCGGTTTCTGGTTGGTCATAACTTCATTTTTCCTTAGGTTTCCGAAAGCCGCAGATTCGATGTGAGCTGTTGATATACTGTGGATTTCTTGGTTCTGAAACTAAAGAGGAATTTCATTCAAACACTAGGCTGAAGTGAAAAGGCCCAAGATTGATTTGTTGGATTTGCAAAAGAAAGCTCTTTGTTACTTCACGAGAACTCGTGAGAACATAACGTTTTGCTTATGATACTCTGTTATCATCGATCACTCAAGGTTTATGACTCTTACCTTTGGTGTTTTGATTTTTTTGGGGTTTTAATGATTTTTCTAAGGTTTATGTTTCTGTTTTGTTACTGGAATTTCTTGGCACCATGAGCAGTAGTACTAAGAGTTGAATGTTAATGGTTTTGTTGTCGTTTTAGTCTTAAGATTGTTTTTAGTTATTAGATTAGCTAATGTGTTTGTTGCTTATTTCAGATTTTATGGTTTTCGTTTAATCGTAGGTTCTTTGTGTTTCTAAATGCGTTGTATTATTTTTTTCCTTTTCTAAGTCTGACAAACTAGATCATTGTACATAGTTGGATACGAGCTTTCTAACGATTTTTCTTCTCTGTTAATTTTTGTTGTGCAATCATGAACGTTACATGAGGAAGTTAACGGAGACTTGGTGGAGATCAAACCAGCCATGTAAGATGATAATTGAGCCAAGAGACTTTGGAGAAAACTCAAGCGAAGTGACATTTTGTCGTAAGGGGCCTTTTACATCGTCTGTCCGATGGAGACCTCAGTGATTAAAGTAAACAATAACACAATCGTGTTTCCATGTGCGAGCGCTGTTAGAAGAGAAACAAAAGAGATGTAAGTATATATGGAGAGAGAAATTGTAGAGGAACTTGAAAAACAGTATCATGTTCTTAAATTACTCTTTATAAGAGAATATAATTGTCATGAGAAATTTGTTAAACGTTAAAATTGGGAAGATGAAAGGAGAAACATGAAAGTGTATTGAAGTGTATTGTATCTTTTGATACATTAGATAATGTGGGATCTTGAGCATTTTTGTGAGTAAAATAGAGATTGTCGAACTTTTAACAGGTTTAGAGTTGTATAAGCATATAAAATTTTGAATCAAAGACCTGCAAACTCATTGATTTTTCAAATGAACCAATATACTTGATTTTACTTTAAAGCATGACTCCAAGTTTTAATTACATTTATATTGTCTGTTTTTAATAGTCTTACAAATAATACATTTAGCTATATTTTAAATAATATATTCTATAAAATGAGATTATATATAATAATTTTAAATTACTAAAAATATAAGCCCGCGCATAGCCAACTCTCTCCAAGTGACACATCATCACACAAGAAAATGACATGTGTCATTCAACATTATTTAAATTAAAAATCAGCAAAATAAATTGAAAGAAAATCAAAAGTCTCCTATTGTGTTAATTCCCCGAATAATCCATTTTTAAATGATTTTTTCAAAATAAAAATAAAATTATTAAATTATTTTAATAAATCAATTACTACTTTTATTTTACTTTTATTATTTTTCTAATTTTTTAAATTATTTTAATAAAAATTGTAAGTACATAAGATGAGTCTAATTTAAGTATACAATAACAAACAAAAAATAAACACAAATTAGCAACAAAAACAATTAACATATTTTTATCTTAACAATTTTCAAAACAAACCCACGCGTAGCGTGGGAATTCATCTAGTATAGATAATTATGCAATTTATGCTATCCAAGTGTGACTTTTTGAGTGAAACATAATATTAATTAACGAATATGGAACAAGCTCGGCTTCGCATTTCTCTTTCCTTTAACGGTCAATTATTTAACTATCCACTTCACAATTGATAGGAGAACAACTATATCTAATTATCTATTATTATGGACTATCTAACTTCAAATCTAGTTTGTTTATTATTATTTTATTTGTTTTTTTTTTAAACAATAAATTATAAGGAATCCAAAAGACATGTAAACTTTAGGTAAAGAATCTATTCATGAATTTAATGATAATTCAAGAATGATGTATACTGAAAATAAAGCTATAGAGTATTCGATATTTTTAGAAACTCTGGTATTTGGGCTAGTGAAAGTTTTTGGTTAACCTAGTACGATCACATACAAAATACAATGGTGATGAAATTTAGTATATCTTAAATATGTTTTAGTTTAAAATGTAGATACTTTTTGTTAGTTGAGACAAAGTACGAAATGTGAAATCTAAGTTTCTGTTTTGCACTTGAACTAATATAAAGGAATGAAAAGTATTATAATGTTTGTTTGTAAAAAATTGAAATCTTTTAGATTTTATATATATACGACTCAGTGGACTAAAACTTGGGAGATAATAATGATGATGACAAATCGAATACAAAAACGAAAAGTCAACCAAGTTGTGAAGTAATGGTGAGCTTTATTAACCAACTGACAATACATCAACATAAGCTAATGTACGTCTTTGTTACTGAGTTGTGACACCATATATGACAATACCTCTCTTTTTCAATGACATCATTATGGACCTGTCGGTCGATTTTACATGATCTTCTTTGTTTCTTTTTACTAGATCCCTCATCTAGTGGTGCACAAAAAAAAAAAAAAAAAAAAGGATCCCTCATCTAGTTAATTTAAAATATATAATACCTTCGTATCAAAATGCTTATTTACTCACAATATTTTTTTATTTTTTTTTTCTTTTTGTCAACAGCTTTAATTGAATTCTCCAACTTTCCATTTTCTCTTTTTCCGAACTACATTAGCAAATCAATTCCGCTCATAGGTTTTGAACATTTTTGGTTAAAATTTTCTTACCATTGTTAAAAATATGGGTACAATAATTCTGCTTTCAGGAAACAAAAAGGACACAACTCACGTAAAATACGATACGATGGTGGAAGGTCAAATGTTTGAATTTGACTAATAGATAGTCCAATGCAACATGGACCGTATGAATAATGGATAATACTGGAATGCAGACGAGATCAAAATGGACAGGACAAAAGTATGAATGGCACAAGACACAAACCATTTGTTAGACAAGTATAAAAGACAAACGCTCATTTCTTTTAAAAAAATTCAGACCATATTTCAATAAAACAGAACAAAAGTGCAAGTTTTTGAAAAAATATAAATTTCCGTTTAATATTTATTTTCAATAAAAATGTTCAATTACCTTTAACTGATTTTATTAAGGCTCAAAATTTACATTTTGTGTACTAGACCTCAAATTCTTTGGACGGGACCTCTTTGATCCTACGAAAATGTCAAAACTATTGCAAAGACAACTAGCCCCAACCAACTAGAAACAACAACAAGTCAAGACCACTTTATGTGAAAATAAATATTGTGCATAAACTAACGACTACAAAGTAAACACGATTTAATCATTTTTACTTGTCGTTAACAACAATAGTACAATAACTACACCGTCATAAAAACAAAACATTTTAGTTGTGTATAAATTGCGTATCGTCGATGCTGACAACGAATGTAAAACGAACAGAACCCTAGTATAAGCACTATGTCGTAACATAAATAGTGTAACTCAACGTATCAATTTGATCCACTAAAGTTATGGATCGGGCCCGTTCAAAAAGCCCATAAACTTTGGTAAACGAATATTTCAAAACTGCCATTCTTTATTTGTTTACATAACTCAAAACATGACGATAACCAACCAATATTAAAACGCCACGTGTACCCCGACGGTCATTTATCATTGAATCGAAGAACACCCGCCAGCTCTTTTCATCGTCGTCGTTCTTCGCGTTTTTTTTTTCGTTTCTCGAATTTTCTTTGATTTGCCTGAAATTTGTTTGTGTTCTTTTGATTGCAATTTCTCGATCTCAGATTTTCTGAGAGGATACAAAACATAATTCTTCAAACCTCAGCAGATTCGAATTTTAGGGTTTTTTTCACCACCTTAGATTTCGCGTCGATGTCGTCCAATCCTCACAGAGGCGGTGCGGGTGGTTCTCTATACGGCGGAGCTGATCCATATAGATCCAGGTATAGTTCTATTTATCAGTTTCTCTTTTTTTTTTTGAAATCGATTCTGGGTAGAGAAAATTAGGGATTAAAGGTTCTAGATTTGGTAAAGTACAAGTATTTATCTTCGGTGTCTGGTTGCAGAGAAGGGCTTAGCACTAGAAATGCTTCAGGTTCAGAGGAAATTCAGCTGAGGATTGATCCTATGCACTCTGATCTTGATGATGAGATCATAGGTCTCCATGGCCAAGTCAGGCAATTGAAGAATGTAAGAAACCCTCTAAATCTCATTTCGAGAGCCAAATGTATTGTTTGCTTGTGGTTCTGAAGGATTATGATTCTCTTTGAGCTTTAAGTTGATCATATGAATTTGGAAAATTTGTCTTCTTTTTTGGTTTTGAAAGTGGTTAGAACTTGGTTAATTAGTTGTGTAGGTGTTTTTTCGGTTCTATGATAATGTTCTTGTTTGCTCTGCTTATCAGTCAGTTTAGTTGAATCAAACTTGTTTGATGTTTTTTATAAACATCAGTGCTTGTTGTATTATATCACCCTTCTTGAAGGAATCAGTCAACATTCTCTACAATCCCTTGTGTTTTACCTTGCACTTTTTGACATAATTTATCCCTCATGATTTTTGTTATTTTGTTGATCGCTTATTTTGATGCAGATTGCTCAAGAAATTGGGTCAGAAGCAAAGTCTCAGAGGGACTTCTTAGATGAACTGGTATGTTGTTAATGTCGCTTTAGTTCCTTCTTTATCCATCATCGTAGAGTGCAATGTAAGCACTTCATATCAGCAACATGCGTTTACTCTTCTTTGCCTTGTAGATGAATCACTGATTAAATATAGTATGTCTGAATATGGGTTTCCTTTAACTTGTTTCAAATGGCTATGTTCATTAGTTGGGAACATTTAGATAAATTCCACCGTAGCTTACAAACCAAAGAATCTTGATAAATCCGAAGTTTAGATAATGTTCACAGTTATTCTCAGGGTCTGGTCTGAACTCTAGTGGGTAGGAATAGATATCTTCAATCTTGGCTAGTTAGGTGAATGCAGCAGGAAATGGTTTCAGCTTATCATTGAGTTCATGCCTCTTTATAATGAGAATATTGGTGTTGAATACGTTCATTGCTTTTAGTTTGTTCTAGTTTTTCTTGTTACCTAGAAGAACATCCTAAAGAAGATAATGACAAACAACTAGATTTGGTAGTGAGACTGCAGAACAATCCATTAAGTGCTGTTATATGCTCAAAAAATAAGTATATGAAATGTTATTCTTGTCTGAAACATAAAACGCTTCAATGGTATTTTGTTTTTGTTTGTGACAGCAAATGACATTGATCAGAGCGCAAGCTGGGGTGAAGAACAACATAAGGAAACTGAACATGAGCATAATCCGTAGTGGCAACAACCACATCATGCATGTAGTACTTTTCGCGCTCCTCCTCTTCTTTATCCTCTACATGTGGTCCAAGATGTTCAAAAGATAGAGAAACTCATGGCATACTTGTGTAAACCCAAAACAAACTTTGATGAATGTTGGATAAGTTGTAGAAATATCCTCTAGATTACAACATTTTGTGGTTCTTCTCGTTACCTGTTATATAGAGTGCTTGCTTTTAACAATTACACGAAGCAAAGTTGGATCACAGAACCGCATGAGACCGGTTCAAATCTGGCCTTAACCTGATTTAGTATGTCCGGTCTAATCCGGTTCACATTTGTAAATTATTGGGCTTTATGGGCTGAAGTATCCCCTCCATGAGTTATTATACGTGTCTTATTATGATTGGTTTGTATGGCTAAGTTTATGGTGGTATCGTCCGTAGAGGATAAAGTCTCTACACTATGTAGTAAAAAAGTACCGGAGAAGAAAAAAAAGAGAATTTGGGTTAGGAGATAAGGAGAAGAAGAGGGAACTTGAATGGCTTCCTTATCCACTTCCGTTGTAGCTTCGGCTTCGTCGCGTTTATGGAATCCTGCTGCTTCCAACGGCAAGATTTGCGTTCCTTCTGCTTCGCTTTCTCTGCGTTCGGGTTCTAGACAATCTCTGTCGTCTTCTCTCACCTCTTCCGCTTCTTCGCAATTGCTTCATTGCTCGTTTCTCTCCTCACCTCTTTCCCTAGCGTCTCCATTTTCTGGTATGTCTCATCTCTTCAAATTAGTGTTTGTGTTTAGCTGGTACTGTTGTTTGGTGATGAAATGTATCAAGTTTTCTCCCCAATTTGATTTTTGGTTATTTGGGTTTGGTGGATTTATCACTGTTCGTGTGTGTGCTTGGCTCTAGCTTACTTTAAAAACCTCTATTTTCGAGATTTTATTTGCAGAATTTGGGAATTGTGAAACATAGTTGTCAATGGTGAATTAAGTTTATGACAACAAGTGAAGATAACATTTTGCAAGTTAAGCTTCAATTTCTGATATCTTAGCTCATGTAGTCATGTACTTGTAACTGCGAGCGAATGTTGTTTGATTTTCAGTACAGAAATGTTGGGCATTTACCTTATTACACTGGTAGGTGTATCTCACTCTAGTGTTATTGTGACGTGTTTGCTTCTTTTGTTGAGATCCAACCTAGTTCTGTTGACTTTCTGTGTATCTCATCTAGCTCATGGTGATTAGTTAGGTCCAATGGTTATAGATTTTGCTCACAACAATGTGTCACATGAACTTGTCCTCCTCCTTTAATCATTACTTTGTTGTAAAGTCTATTCTAGGACCATTATAACTAGGCTAAGAGTTAAGCAGTGAATTATAAGCTTTGCCAGTTAGCAACATACCTTATGGTGAATTGATAGCTTAAGGGTTAAAAGGGTACCTAGAAGAATGCATTAGGGTCATTTTGGGTTTTGTCTGGGTCTTGGTTCTGGGCAGTTTGTCGAGAGTTTTGGGTACCGTCTAATTAATCAAATCTCTAGTATTGTATGGTGTTAGCTTTTTCTTTGGTGTAATGAATGAAGGAATTTACTTACTGGTTCCAATATTATCAGCTTGATACACAAATCAAACCTATAATGTCATACTTATCAAAATGGTGTTACTGTCTTTTCAGGTTTATCCATTGCGTTTGATCTCAGCAGTCAAACTAGTGGACTGAACAGCCAGAGACGCAGAGGCCTTGTGGTGAGAGCTGGAAAAGCTGCTCTGTGTCAAACAAAGAGAAGCAGATCAAGAAAATCTCTGGCTAGGACTCATGGTTTCCGTAGAAGGATGAGGACCACTAGTGGTAGAGCAACCATAAAGCGCCGACGTGCCAAGGGACGCTGGAACCTCTGTCCCAAGTCCAACCCTAGCAGCGGCAAACGGGCTTGAAATTTGTTTCTCTCTTCACTCAAATCTGTAATCTTGTTTGATATGCTTTTTTATTCCGCCAGAAGATACAATGAGAAACATGGTTCGTTGAGCTCGTTTCTGTGTTGAACTCTTTTGCATCCTTGATTCGTTTATAAATCAATGTTCTTGAATTTGTTCCTAATCGAAGGCTCAACTTCAAAACCGAAATTACTTAACGAACTCTTCTGGCCACCAGGAAAAATCTGGTGTGTAAGATTAAAGTATTGTCAATGGTTGCTGAAAGTATAGTTTGGGTTCAATCCCCGAAGGATTTTACTTTTTTACTAGTTTTATTTCAACCTAACAATTACTGTTAACTGTTAAGTACTAACCCTAAACTAAATCCTGTTATTTAAGTACTTAGGTTAAGAGAAAATTGCACCCAAAAAAGTAAAATAATAAAAAAATCCTTCTTAATGGAAGTTAGGGAGGGATCAGATAGTGTAAAAATGAGAGCGCCCAATAGTCGTAACAGGCTTTGGGCGGCACGCTCTTCTCGCAATATAAGCGAGTATTTACCATTCATCATTTCCCCTTTAACTTGCCTGAAGGATCATGCCTTTAACCGAATTAGCTCTTTTTCTTTTATAGACATGTCACTACCATCCTATTTTCTACCTAAACGATGTGGGACAAAATTAAACTATTCTCTTGTCTAAAATAAGGGCTATTCTATTTATCTCAAAGATCTTTGTTTGATAGTGGGCCTCTGTGTATCTATTCTTTTTTTCTGCTCTACAATTCATTTCTGGGCCTATAAAATCCTATTAAGATGAATTACCTATTCGATATCCGATCCTTGCCACTCCTACGTGACAAACTCTTCATACGAAGGAAAGTCTCCGGTCATAGACTCATAACATAATTCACATACGTTATTATGTTTAAAAGGTGTGTGAGTGATGGACTAGTAAAGGCCTTGAGTAGAAACTTATGGTGAGACATCATGAGAATTCCATTTCCATTGAATGATCGTGAAGTGCCTGATCTGTGCATGTTTACGAGCAAAACACACAGTTAAATTAAACTCAGCTAAAATCTAAACACGCGATGGATAATTTTACTGAATTCTTCATCATAATATATACAGAAAATCTCTGTAAGTTTTGCAAACCTATCCAACCACCAAAAAATGCACTTAAAAACTAATGAAAAGTGCAACCAGACTAGTGACACACATTCCCATCGAGTGAAGAGAAAAGAAAAACACCAAAAACAGATTATCCGAAAGTGATCAAATCCAAGAGATTGTGGGTTATCCCGACATGCCAACAAACTTGTCTTTGGGAATCGCATTTTAAGAAAACGGTTTCTCATAATTAGTTTTCATAGTTTCATTACAAAGTCTATATATTTATTCATATGATAATATTTCAAATTTATATCATGAATAAAATTTATGTAACACATGATGTGAAAAGTCACCTAAAATGATGTTAAAGAAAGATGTTAGTTACTACTTTATAGGAGAAACCGTTATAAGAAATCTAGTACTTTTGTCAACAGAAAATAAAATTATTAATGCAGACAAACAAAAACAGAGTACACGTCAAAAAGAGAGCTCAGGCTCAGCTGCGCTTTTAACTGACGATGATAATGACCTAGTCTCACAACAGAACATCAAACACTTCGCTCAACTAACTAACAAAACATAGTAAACAACCGAATAATAACATCATAAAATTTATATCCATGTAAAATATAGAATACATGAAACATCCATCTATATTGGCTATGAACTTTTGTTTGATACATACTGCTGTAGTTCGGATGTATTACTTTCTTTATAACTAATCATAAAAACGATATAAAACTAATACAAAAGATTACTGTCAGTTTTTTGGTATAGTCGTATTTTATCACTTTTAACTATTTATATAAAGATTACTGTTTTATGGTACCGTTTAAAAAATTTGTATCGCTTGTCTTACCAATCGGATCCATTAACCGTAAAATTCATACATCTCTACTTTTTTAATAAATTAAGACGTGATAAAAATTAAATCGATTTGGAAATCTGCTACAACAATCAAAGCGAGAAGAGAGATTGAAATAACCCACTCTTTTACATATTGTCTTACAAGGTGTAAATAACTAACTAATTTATTCTTCTATGTTCATTACGATAAGTCGATAAATGAACATTACAGTTTCAAAAGGTAAAGCTCAAGTTGCAATGTAGATTTAGACCATATCTAATCGAATTAGTTACGCAACCGGATAAGAAGCATACTGAGCTACACCACACATGCCTTGAGGCCACTCCACATCTCTACGAATCCTAATGTAACCATTCTCTCCCCAAGTCGTACCCCAAGAGTTCTTAGCCAACCAGTACCTGATACCTTCCGGGCTCGTGCCGTACCCAACGAATGTCACTGCATGATTCACGCTAGTCCCACAGTCCCGCGCATTGTACACTCCCCCTGAGTAATGAATGAAACCGGTCTCACTCGCGTCAATGTTCACTGCGACAGGTTGTCTTGATACGGCTTCCAGTAACGCACGTTCGTTGTTGCTTGGAACGTTTTCGAACCCTCTGATTACTATGGCGGGTATAGCGTTGGACCGGCATGGGCCCTCTTTCACTTGGTAAGGGTATGCGTTTTCTGAAGAAACGCCTTTTTTTACTATATAGTTGAAAGCTTCTGTCATTGTTCCTCCCTTGCAACCATTGTTCTGCTCTCTGGCGCAATCTAGAAGTTGTTGTTCGGATAGTGATATGAGGTTTCTGTGTGCAATCTTTGTCAGACCTTCCACCGCTGCTATAGCTGAGAACGACCAACAACCTCCTGCTCATATATATATATAGGTTACTTGGGGAATAAGTTTGTAATATCACATTAAAATATTAATCCAGCCGTTTAATGCATTGTTTCCGAATTTGATACATAGAGAATGTTTATATATAAACACGACAAGCTTACCACATTCTCCTTGGTATTTAACAGGTGTTACTGCTCCTTCGTTTCTCCAATCTTTGGTCGTGCCAAGGACATCACTGACGGTCCAATTCCAAGCTGGCGTCGTTTCATTAACCACTTCGAAAGGTGAAGTTACATTAATGCCACTGAGACCGGTGTGGGTGGCAAGGAACTCCTCTTTAGTCCAATCCGTGAACTTGTTGACACCAAGTTTGTAGCTCTGACTCCCCATATTATTGAAGTTCTCAATGAACTTCAAATTTTCCGTGAACACTTCACGCCTCATCTGTTTCTCAAATTCATCATCATAAACTCGAGAAAAATTAATCATCCATTGCTGGTGGTAATAAAAAATGGATGGCTCGTGCAAAGCGACACGAGATGTGGCTTCGGAGATCTTTAGATCCATGGAAAAAATGGTTAAAACAACTAACACAAACTCTACTAAGACCATTTTTTTTGGTATATGAAAATTCGTTTACACAAAAATATGAACTTCTTTTTGATATGTAAAGGGTTTGTGTTGTGTTGTGTTGTGGTTTGGTGAAGAAGTGAGAATGGGGAGTAGGATATTTTATAGAGTGAGGAATGAGAGTTGTTACGTTGGAAGCAAAAGCAAGTTGGCTATTGTGGTGATGTTATACTTTGCATTACTTTCTTCTTGATCTTCGGAGGAACACTCTTTATCCCTTATTTTATTTTATTTTTTTTTATCAAGAAAACTCTTCATTGCATGCATAGATATATTGTTACTTATAAATATATATATATATATATATATATATCATCAAATTTCATTTTCCAAAAACAAATAGTAAGATCTAGTAGCAACCTTAATTACATCTCTATATTAGTAAAAGAGAAGTACAAATGAGAAAGTGACCTTCATTTTCATTTTGGATAGTAATTACTTCAAATGTCATTTAGAGGAAGTTGTTATTAATTGTCTTGTTAGGGATATATTAATTAGGGTCAAACTAACACACGCATATGTACTCGGATCTTCTAATTTTCTTATAATCTAAAAAATCTTTAGATAGCAGATTTTTATATAAAAATTTAAATCACTACATAATCAATAAAAATCTAGAATTTCTATATTATAAATTTTTTAAAATATCATGAATTTTTAAAGTTTATGAAATGTCTAAAATATCGTGAGCACTTTATTGTATTTTTATTTTTTTGTTCATCTCGTGGTAAGTGGTAATAATACATTTCATTTGTTTTATTCCTTGAACTACGTACTATTGTCCTGCTTATTTCTATCATATTCATCTTATTCAACTTCTACGAAAATAAAATTCTAGAAGCAACTCAACTACTTTCGGTGATGGTGTCCTAAACGCGTAATTGAACGCCTTCTCATCTCTAGACTACGGAAATTAGATGCTCATACATAGAACGCTTCAAACATTTAAAATCAAATAAGGAATTCAATGCAAACGAGATGATATATATATATATATATATATATATATATATATATATATATATATATATATATATATATATAAATACCCCATTACGAGACGAAATATAAATGTATACATTTCTTACAAGTTACAACAACTTTATGTAATCTAATAATCATTATACACACTTACAAAGTGTATTGGTCAAGCTTTGCGATGCAGATTTAGACCACATCTAAACAATTCATAACCAAAATATATAACAAGATCACCATTTTTGTTGTTTAAATGTTAAAATAATATTATCACTTTTATATAAAATAAGCCATCTGCCGTTTAGTTAGGCAACCGGATAAAAAGCATACTGAGCCACACCACACATGCCTTGAGGCCACGCCACATCTCTACGAATCCTAATGTAACCATTCTCTCCCCAAGTCTCCCCCCAAGAGTTCTTAGCCAACCAGTACTTGATCCCCTCCGGGCTCGTTCCGTATCCAACGAATGTCACTGCATGGTTCACGTTGGTCCCACAGTACGGCTCATCGTACACTCCCCCTGAGTAATGCATGAAACCGGGCCCATCCGCATCAATGGACACCGAGACAGGCTGCCTCGATACAGCCTCGAGCAATGCACGCTCGTTGTTGCTTGGAACGGTCTGGAACCCTCTTATCCAGGCGGAGGGTTTTGCATTGTACCGGCATGTCCCCTCTGTCTCTTGGTAAGGGTATGATGCTTCTGAGGCAATGCCTCGGTTTTTTATTATATAGCTGAAAGCGTCGGACATTATTCCACCGTTGCAACCGTTGTCACGCTCTCTGTCGCAATCTAGAAGTTGTTGTTCAGACAATGATACTAGGTTGCCTCCAACGATCTTTGTCAAACCTTCCACCGCTGCGACGCTTGAAAACGCCCAACAACATCCTGCCCATAAATGCATCGATATATATTGATTAGTTATTTTTTGATAATTAGCGAATCTCTTATTCCTTAAACCTACAAACCCTAACTTGGGGTTTACGTTTTGTATGTGGAATGATTATTACAATTTTTTAAAATACTGAATCCAAATGTGAAATATAATACGTGTGGGAATCATTATTTGTATGTATAGTTCCGACAAGCTTACGTACCACATTGGCCTTGGTATTTAACAGGTGTTACAGCTCCTTCGTTTCTCCAATCTTTGATCTCACGGCCGGCGACATCACTGACATTCCAATTCCAAGAAGGTATCATTTCATCGACAAATTCCGAGGATGGAATTCCGTTAAATCCCTTGAGACCGGTGTGGGTGGCAATGAACTCCTCTTTGGTCCAATCCGCAAATTCGTTGACACCAAGCTTGTATGTTCTATCCCCTTTCTTATTAAATTTCTCAATGAACTTCAAGTTTTTCTTGAACACATCGAATCTCATTTGTTTCTCGAGCTCGTCGCTATAAACTCGAGAGAACCGAGTCATCCATTGCTGATGGTGTTCAGCAATGATCGGCTCGTGGAAGGTGACACGAGATGTGGCTTGAGAGAATTTTACACTCATGGATAGAATGGTTAGACTCACGAACATGAATAATATCGATGTCATTTTGTTATTGATGAAAGAATCACACGTTTACACACTAAGAAGTATAGAATTGTAAGGGTTTTATGTAAAGGCCGGTTTGTTTGTGTTGTGTTGTGTTGTGGTGAGGAAGTGAAGATGGAGAGAAGATTATTTATAAAGAAAAGTTTCGGAGTTAGTTATGACTAACTGAAAAATGAGAGCAAATTGCAATTGCAAGTTGACTCTATTATGAGTGATGATATATTTTACATTACTTGCGCCGTGATATTTGGAGGAACAACTTTCCCATCTTTATATGCACATATATTGCAACTAATGTTTATAGTATGACGATTTCACTTAAAAATAAAGAGATAAGATCTAGCTATATTTACTAGTAACCGTAGGATCTAGGGTAGTATAACATTTGCGTTTAAATGCAATCATGGTCCAATCAAATGTACTCTGAAGTTTATCGGTCGTTGTGAGTTATAACTTTTAAAATATTATATTAATTCGAACCCAAAATTGTCTTTGCAACTATTGTTTTTGGGAAACAACTCATGGTCCAGTGGTATATATACTTACAATGGATTCGTTTCATCCTATTAGCTAGTTTCTACTTTCTATTATGGTGTCTTTTATGTCTTCAGAAAACATGACCAATCAAGACTTAATTCATGCTCAAGTCTTTTTGTCTTGTAATTTAGAGATCGAACCTCTCTGTGCCTAGTAGCCCAGTGGAAATGATGGCCACTAGATCTTTAACACTTTTTTATTAAATGAATTCTTTCTGCATGCAATTGTTTAATGAAGATAATACTTGATGCGATGAGATACAAAATATCTTTACGTCACGTACATATCAAATTTATCTAATGCTTATTTTGGAGAGTAAAAATTAAAGGTTTTAGGTGGATAACTACTATTTATTACTAATACTTATCTATATATATTTCTAAATTTAGCTATATGGAATGGTAATAAAACGTAAGAGATAATATGATACGTACAATATAGTTTTAGAGTAAGACAGATTAAATTCAACAATTCTCGATTTTTCGTTGCAATAACATAGATAATATATATATAAATCGATTTGTGTGCTGTGTATGTAATAATTAAAAGCTCCACTTAAGAGATAATCGATGATTTCCACTTTCTAACTGAACTGAGAAAACCTTTTTATTCCACTTGCGAATATATTTCCCTTTCATTGTTGTTGAAGATTTTTTCTTGCCCATTCCTTTGTTTGTACCGTTGATACTAGTTTGAACAAGATCATACGGAAAGTCCAAGATACATATATGTCGAATAATCAATTTCCTATTTAACATTTTTTAGCTAAAGTATTTCTTTCAATTATGCCATGAGTAAGTCCTTAATTTTTATAGAGAACAAAGCGATAACTTTCTATAGTCTAGTTAGTATTACTGTTACATATGTACGTACCTATACTTTTAATAGTCGAGAGACTCCGGACCAAGAAACGCCCACTGATCTCCAAAATTTGTGGAAAAGTAGGGTATTTTTGATGTTTAAAATGCCTAAACTGATCAACTATATAATTGAAATTGAAGTGAAAATATTTAAATCTTAGAGCCATCCTTTAAAATAATATTCAACTATCTAATATAATTATTTTCTCTGTTCATATATCTCCCAATAATATGTTGTTGGAAAAAAAGAAAAAAGAAATTTCCAAAAACAGGTATACATCAAGCAAATTCCTCAATAAAATGGATTGTGTGTTCTCAGTTCTCACAAAATATAGTAATACTAGTATGTGACCCGTGCTATGCACGGAAGTAGTAATTGCTATTTTAGTTTTTTCCAAAAACTTACAACTATCATTTTTATTTTACAATTTAAAATTATATTTAATATTAGTTTTTAATTTTTTTTAATATTAGTATTTGGGAGGAGGGAAGTGGAAAAGGTGGAGATAGTGGCAAAAAGAAAGTGGAAAAGGTAAAAAAAACAAAAAATAAAAATTTGGCAACAGTTTTTCTCCGTGTGTGAAAAAGAAAAGGCTAAAGTAAAAGAGTAAAAAATGAGACTTATGCCACATGTCAGAAGGAAAATGGGGCAGTTATTGTAAAAGTGACTGTTGATTTAGTAGATATAGATATAAAAGCACCTTGTGAATTTTTTTTTTTTAATAAGGAAAAGAAAGAACTCATGCAAACGATTTTGGACGGAAAAAACTGATCACCGTATCGTGGTAGTTGATTTTCTCTCCCGAACCCTCCCAGCTGCTTAATCAAATGGTGTGATAAACATATACGCAATCAACTCTCGGCGATCAAAATAAGTGGTGATAGGAGATACGATTCGGGACTTCAGGCATGGTTCGACTTAAGAGGCTTCTAGGAGAAAACTATTAAATCTTTGAATCTCTTAAATTTTTTCAGAAAAAAGCTGCACTTGTTGTAAAACAGTTATTTTTCTTTGAATCTAATTTAACATTATATTCAAAAAAAAAAGGTAGTTGATTTTCATAACTTTTTTCTTTGTTCTGTCCGGTTTATTATTATTCTTATATTTTTAGTATTGGATTTCGGCTACAATACAAATACGGTTGGATAATAAAATAAACTTATATTTCAAATATTTCAACTTATACTTTTAGAAAAGTTAAGTTTATAGTATTATATTTGAAATGAGTAACGATCCGACAAAAAAATATGTGCCATTATCAGAATGGAGGGGCAATGAAGCATGGGTTCCAAATGGAGTATCATATTTTTCTCTGATAAATAGTATCATGTTTTAGCACACAATTTTATTTTTGATTTTTGGTTAAAGTTTTCATCTCAAGTTGCACTCTTAATCAAATGTCTTTGGGGGCAATGATCTCGTTTAAGAGTGTCTGATCCCAAGTTGATACAGTGGTTGAACTTTAAAAATTGCATCAAATTTTTGTAATATTACTATTGAACAAATATCAAACTCAGCAAAAACCATTACACTGAGAAATTAAAGTAATATTGTATAGTTAATAATAATACAAACTACTGTAATGTATAAAAATTAGATATGGCCTCATCTGATAAATATGTAACTCTAAAGCTATATAGAAAATGTCCTAAGTCTCTTGCACGAGTCTACTTCTTTATTTATATAATGGAGACTCCATTGAATTTCTAACTGGCGGCGTACCGTTCCCATCTACAAGTTGGGACGGCTCTCATGCGCGCCGCAACATACGCACGCATGCATTGAGATTGCATTATCATTATCATTATCATTATCATTATCATTATCATTATCATTATCATATGATCTTTTTTGTTGGTCATGAATATAAATAAGATTTGAAGCGTGTGATTCCGAAAATGCTGACCCAGTGAACCAATAAACGAGATATAGCGTAGTAGTTAGATGTTTCGCAAAGTAATTCGTGATATACAATGATATTCAAGTTGACTAATTAAATAACGATTAGTATTAGTATCAGTGATAACTGATATATAACATTAAAAAGGGAAGGTGGCTTGCGCTTCTGGTTTCAAACTCATGCCCAATAATAGTCTCTCTATGTTATAATATTTTCTAAAGTTTACAAACTTATCAAACATTTTGCTTTTATAAAACAGTTTTTTTGGTGAATAAATTTTACATTCATACAAAAAAAGAAAAAAGGGGAAGATTTTTATTGCTCAATTGAATATTTTAAACTGCTGATTTTTATCAATGTCATAGATGTTTTAGATAGATAAAAAAAAGTTTTTGGACGAAACTATTAGGCATATATATAAGTCTGGTTTATTCTACAAACAAAATCAACTCGTTTGGAGTTTTTGCTATAGAAAACTCAAGAACTCAAAATTATGTTCAAGGTGAGTCTTAAATACTGATTTTTAGATAAGAGAGAAGGAAAAATCCTTAGCATTTAAAAATCTTTTTGGTCTCACCAACTCAATGCCACTAGCCGTTTGTCGAATGCAGGTCGAAGTCGATTATATATGATCTAAAGGGATACCAAGATTACTCGATTATGTATTAGACATGTTCCCATTAGACTCAGACCAGTTCTAGGATCATGTGACTCATTTTCCTAAAGCGCTGGAACGGTTGCATGAGCGGAAACTATCCGCAAAAGTTAATAAGCCTAAATTCAGGAAGCAAGAGATTCGATTCATAGGTGATCGGTCATGTGTGATGTCTGCGCAGGACCGTATAATTTCGCAACCGTTTAGGACTGGCCTTGGCTCTCGAATGTCTTGGAAGTTCAAAAAAATTCTAGGATCCAGGTTATTATAGGAGATTTGTAAGAGAATTTGCTGCACTGACTACTCTATTATTCGGCACCTTGAGTAGAGAGAGAATTGTGAGGACGCTTTCTAGAAACTTAAAGAAGCTTTGACTTCATCTCGTCGCATGAACATGGTCAGCCTTTTACCATTTGTACGAACGCTTCGCGTGTGGGCCGAGGATGCATGCATCTTGATGCAAGAAGAGAAGGCAATTACATACACATCAAGACATACATGGAAGCATGAGCAAAATTACCTCATGTATGATCTGAGATGGCTACAATAGTGTTTGCATTTCGAATCTACTTGTACGGAAAAAATGCAAATTTTGATTGATATCATAAGAGTTGAAATATATATTCATTTAACTTAAACTCAACATATATCAGAGAAGGTGGATGAAGGTCATAGCGGGCTACTATATACACATCACCTAGATAGAACTAATTAATGTAGTAAATTATTAAGCTGAAGAAAGACAGAAGTCGGTTTGGAGAAGGATTTCCAAAAGCTTGAATTAATAAAGAGTAGTAGAGTAGAGTCAACGACCCTGCCTGAACTAAATTATTTCCAAAATTTTAAATTACTAATTCGATTTTTTTTGAGTTCTTATGCTGCTGTTGTAAACTTATATAATATATATATTAGAACTAAGTTTTAATATATTATAATAGTAAAAGAAAAAATATTAATTTTATTGTCGGTCCCTATAGACAATATTAGAATAAATATAGAATTTTTTCTATAATACTCAATTATGGATATTTTTTTTAAGATATAAAAACGGAAAATAATTTTATTTTTTAAAAAGTAATATTTTTTGAACAATGAGTTAATTTATGTTAACAACCACAAAATAGGATTGCATATATTTCAGTTAGATCAAAAATTAAAATATCATAAATGAATCACATATAAAACATAAATTATTTTGAATTAATTAGGAAAATTAGCTATTATTTTGAATTAATTTAGAATTTTTTTTTCAATTTATAATTCTTGGTTGTTGAAATAGAGATTTGTTTGAGCTAATCTAATTACAGAATTTATTTGAGATTTATAATTACGGAATTTACCAATTATTCGCATAATCGAATATGTTATAAACATATATTTAGTATATAATAATACCAAAATCAACCCGTGCGTGGAGTTTATATTTTTATTTTAGAATCTCAATATTTCATTTTAAAATATTGTGTGCACAATCTATTATTTGTTAATTCTAAAATTGCTTGCGGAATCAAATTTTCAAATATTTAGAGGTGTCAAACCATATTTAAATGTTCTACACTATTTTTAAATATTCCAAATTAAAATCTTTAAATTTTTTTTGTAGTTTATAAAATTATGAATTTCAAAAAACAAATTATATGAAATTAAATATAACTATTCAAATAGTTATAAGGATCAAAACTCATTTCATCATATAATATATTATATTTAACCCGCTACCTATTATAAATATTTTTAAAAATAATCAAATTAGAGTATTTATAATTTTTAACTTTTTGAACAATTAAGTATTGATGATATTCTCTAAAAATATCAAGTAAAACTTATTTTAAATGTTGCAAATTAAAATATTTAAACTTTTATTGTAGTATATAAAATTATACATTTCAAAAAAATAAATGTATGAAATCGAATATAAATATTCAAATTCTGACACGTTGCTCAGTCGAAATTTTTGTTGACTTTATTTTTGTGTAAAAGAAACATATTACTCAAGTCTGAATTTTTGACCCGTTTAATTGTTTCCTTTATAGATTGAACAATTTATATGCGTTTTTAAAAATTCAAATCTTGGCATATGCAGAAAAAAATTTACTTTTTTTTTTTATTATGTAAATGATATGATGATTTATTTGTTTCATATTAATATAATCATATAAAGATGAGAGGTGAAGTTTAATGATTAATAACAAATTAATATGGTAAGTTAGATATCAAATCTTATATGTTCATTTTGATTGGTCATTTAAAAAAAAAATAACATATTTTTCGTTTTATAATTTAATTAAATTAATTAAATGACATAAATTAGTATTTTACTTGTTTATCTTTAATAAATTGAATGAAATTTGTTCTAAAAGAAGATTTTTGTAATGGCATTCTTAAGTAAATTTTTACAAAAGAGAAGGTTAGTTAAGGATATCTTATAAAGTGTACTCCCCAAATAATAGTATAGGATTTTCTTGAGAAATTTACTATAAAAAAATTAACGTTGAATTTCTTATTGCCTCTTTTAGGGTAAGTTACTCATAGTCTCCCAATCTTTAGACATCAAGGTATTTAAAAATCTTCAACTCGTAATGTTTCCATTTCTTATATTTGGAATATTATTATTACCCCTTACCAGCTGATAGATGGTTTAGTCAAAACTAAAACACTAAATATTTAAAGCTTTGTACAAAGCTCATTGGTTGCTCTATCATTGTCAAGCTTAATCTTTTATATCATATAATTAGTAACTTAATTTAAATAGTGCATTTTTGTCTGGGAGAAAATATGAAATTGAATGTACATAATGAGACATGTTAAAAGTTATATTAAACCAGTCTAGAATACAGTCCATGGTATCATCAATATAGTTATAGAAAATTATTAATACGAACACGTAATTCCAGTTTTTCGTATTTATTGATATAGTATTAAACTAAAAAGATATATCTATATGTAAAGTTTCTAATTATTTTCCTTAGAAATTTAGAATTCGTGTAGAAATCATCTTGGGAGTAAATAAACACACTTTCCTCATATCATGATGTTGGCAAATAACTAAATGTATATGTCAAAATCATTATTTGTTAAAGAATGGATACGTCAAATCATGATTATCCTTATCAAGTTTAGTCATATAAATATTTATATAGATAATAGATCTAGAGCTTGCTTGCAGTGTAAAACCGACGGTCACATAAGCTTTTGACTTCAGTTCAAGGTAGTTTCCATGTATTTTCACAAGATATTTCAGTAGAAGCAATAAATAAAAAATATTATTTTCTGGACCTTCAAAGATCTTCTCCATTAAGTTCTCAATTGGTGTCATGCATATATGATATATATATATGTGTGTTTGCGCTTATCCTCTAGTCATTCATCGACCAAAACTGTGTTAACTCTTAAGTGTTATTAATAAGGTGTCTTGAGCTATAACATAAAGATGACAACGGTGAGTAACTTGATCCCCCTAATCATTTTTCATGAAAACTAGCTCATATATGCGTTTATTGAATATGTGTATGTGTACACAGGTAGTGGAAATGGAAGTGCCAATGGACTGTCCCGGTTGCGAGAACAAAGTTAAGAAAGCTCTTGAAAAGATTAAGGGTAATTAACCAGTGAAGATAGGTTTAAAATCACTAAGTCCTAAACTAATTAACATTTATTCAGAAACTAGTTTTCTTGTCACCCAAGAAACCTGATATTAAGTCTTGGATTGAACAGGAGTCCACGATGTTCAGATAGACTCGAAGCAGCAGAAAGTAACGGTGACTGGTTCGGCCGAGCAGAAGAAAGTTCTGAAAGTTGCAAGGAATGTTACAAAGAGAGATATATGCTTATGGTCGTACCCTTACAACCCCGAATCTAATGGATATAACGACAGGTACTTCAAGAAGAAGTTTCGCAAAAGAATCAACATGTCGGTGAACGGTGAGAAAGTGAGTTCCTACAACTACCACAAGCATGGCTACCACGGACACGAGCATGGATACTACCAAGAACGGCCTTATTCAGGTCTTATCGATCAGACCGCTAGTTCTATGTTCAGTGAGGAAAACCCTCATTTCTGCAGCATCATGTGAACGATCTTCTTACTTCAGCAACTATGTGGGTGGAACAACTTTTGTTCGGTTTTTATTTGGTTTTGGTTATGCTTCATTGTATATAAATAATAAATCATAGAACCGGATCGAACCCAAATAAGGCCGTTCTTTTATGTTATAAAATTGTTTTGGTTTTTGATTTGGTTAAATTAGGGAAAGGTCGGGTCTATAATCTATATCATCATATGTGTATGTATATACATAAGTGGCTTTGTTGCCTTCTTCGGTTGTAAGTGAAAACACTATGTGGATAGCTCTTCTGTAGCATTCTGAAAAACTCATCGCTCAAATCAATAATTTAATATTTCATTAGGAAATTTGGTCGGAAAAAAAAATCGACAGATAAAATATAAAATAAGGATTTGTTCGAGTTAAACCTGTAAAGATGATTTACGTCGTAATATGATGTATTTAGGCTCTTTTTGGGCGAAAAATAAAGAAGATAAAGAAGAAGAAGAAGATTAAGAAGAAGAAGAATCTGAGAATTGGAATTGAGAATAGATTTTAGGGTTTGTTTGTTTTGATTTGGGGATTTATGAGATTGTGATTTCGTTTTAAGCATAAACGACGATGTTTTGGTCACTAACAGAGAAACGTTAACGGGTGTTAACGTCTGTTAGTGGGTTTGTGATCGGATTTAACGATGTGTGTAAATAGGCCGGGTCAACGCAATCCAACTGGTCATTTGTGTGGTCAACGCTAAGTTTGTGTTTAAAATGACCTTATGAGAAGTTGACTTATTGATTGGCCACTTTTTGAAAGTTGGGAGATAAAACGACATATTTCCCCAAACGAAATGGAACTAGGATTTTGGCAAGAGTTTCGATTATTTTATCCTAAACAGGGCATAAAAGTACTTGGTCTGAGGTCGTTTACCGGGTCAAGTATCGAATCAGGTAACTTTCTCTCACGAAATTATTAAAATTTGTAATTATTGAAAATATATATTATTGAAAATAAAATTTGTAATTCCTTTTTTCTCTTTATGTATAGATATTTGCTATAGTCTTCCTCAAAAATGTAAACTATAAATAATTAAAAAAATAAAGCTATACTTAATTTAGAACAAAGTCTATATCTAGTGAATAGTGAAGAATGGAAAATAATAAGGTGAATAATCTAATGATAATAACAATCTCAATAAATGTTTTTTGCACTTTTGAAGAATTGCGTTTTTTATCGCAACTTTTTGTTAAAATATTTATTGTTATTTTATTTGATTGTTTTATCGCATGCACTTTTGAACGGTTGTGTCTTTTTATCGTAACTTTTCGTTAAAATATTTAAGTTTTTTTTTTCCGTTTATTTCTTCGGTTGTGACTTTTTATCGCATCTTTTCATTGAAATATTTACGGTTTTTTTTACGGTTGTGTCTTTCTATCGCAAGCATTTTTGAAGGGTTGTGTCTTTTTATCGTAACTTTTCGTTAAAATATTTACGATTTTTTTCGGTTCTTTTTTTTTCGGTTGTGTCTTTTTATCGCATCATTTCATTGAAATATTTTTGTTTATTTTTTCTGGTTGTTTCTTTTTATCAAAATGTCTATTGCACTCCTGAACGGTTGTTTCTTTTTAGTGCAACTTTTGGTTAAATATTTACGGTTATTTTTTCTGTTGTGTCTTTTTATCGCATAGTTTCCTTGGAATCTTTACGGTTATTTTCTTACGGTTGTCTTTTTTATCATATATCTTCGTTGAATACCTTTTACACACTCTTCAACGGTCGCGACTTTTAATCGTTACTCTTCAAAATATATTTTCTTTTATTTTTAATTATTAAAATATTAAATAAATTTTTATAACCGCTTAGTTGAATCATTGTAACATTTGGTTTACTTACGAACCACTGTAATTTTCTGTTTATTTTATGAACCACTGTAACCTTTAATTTATTTGAAAACCGTTGCAACATCTAGTATATTTGATAGAAAAATTGTTAAAAATGCCCCTTTTTCAATACCCCTTTTCAAAAATGCCCCCTTTGAGAGTCCATTTTTAAGTTTGCCCTCTTTTATTTTTTAATGACCATTTTACCCTTACTTGAAACAAAATTAGGTCCACAAAATACAAAATATTTTTTGGCGGGAAAAGTGATCCCGCAATTTTCCCGCCAAAACACTTGTAAAAAACCTTTAAAATACCTTGTAAAATTTTCCCGTAAAAATTTTTCCCGCCAAAAAATTTTTTTTGCGGGAAAAGTGATTCCGCAATTTTTTTGGCGAAATTTTTTTGGCGGGAAAATTTTTGGCGGGAAAAATTTACAAGGTTTTTTAAAGGTTTTACAGAGTATTTACAAGTGTTTTGTAAGATTTTACAATGTATTTTAAAAGGTTTTACAAGGTACTTATAAGGTTTTATAAGGTATTTATAACTTGTAAAACCTTATAAAAAACTTGTAAAACCTTATAACTTGTAAAACCTTATAAAATTGCTTGTAAAATCTTATAATATCTTATAAATACCTTATAAATACGTTGTAAAACCTTATAAATACCCTGTAAAAAACCTTTAAAATACCTTGTAAATTTTTCCCGCCAAAAATTTTCCCGCCAAAAATTTAACGCCAAAAAAATTGCGGAATCACTTTTCCCGCAAAAAAAAATTTTTGGCGGGAAAATTTTTTGGCGGGAAAAAATTTTACGGGAAAATTTTACAAGGTATTTTAAAGGTTTTTACAAGTGTTTTGGCGGGAAAAATTGCGGGATCACTTTTCCCGCCAAAAAATATTTTGTATTTTGTGGACCTAATTTTGTTATATTTCCTTATATATTTGTGATATATTTTATTAAAAGAAGGGTAATTTAGTCATTTTGTACATAAAAAGGGGTATTTTTAAAAATGGACAGCCAAAAGGGGCATTTTTGAAAAGGGGTATTGAAAAATGGGCATTTTTGTGAGTCTCCCTATTTGATATCTATATATAATCGCGTTTTCGGTGTAATTCTTCATAAAATATATATTTTTAATTTATTTAAATGAATTTTCGCAAACCATTTAATTGAACTGCTGCAACATTTAATTTATTTGAGTAATCTTTGCAACTTTTGGTTTATTTTATTAACCGTTGTAACTTTTAGTTTGATCGACGAACCTGCAACCTTTGGCATATTTGTTATCTACGGTCGCGTGTCTCGATATAATTTTTCATATAAAAAAGTTAATTTTGAATTGCTAAAATACATAGAAATAAATAGTTGCAACTGTTTAATTGAACCATTGCAACATTTGATTTATTTGACGAACCATTGCAATTTTTGGTTTGTTTATGAACCGTTGTATAATTTACTTTATTTGACGAAGTGTTGCACACAACCATCGGTATATTTGATATCTACAGTTGCCGTCTCTAGATTATAACTCTTCTTTCACCCGTTTGCGTATTTTTTATCGTAACATTTCGTAAACTATTTTTATTTTACTTTTTCTCTGAATAAATGTTTTATCTGGTTAAATCTTTTTATCGTAACTCTTCGTTAAATATTTTATACACTAATAACAATCTAAATAAATATCACCTATGGTTGCGTTTTATCGTAACGGATCGTAAAATATTTTTATATATTTTAAATCTGAATAAATACCTTTTATGGTTGTGTCTTTTCATTGTAACCTTTCATTAATATTTTATTTTAATTTTTAATAATTGAAAAAAGATTTGTAATTATGTATTTTCAAAGTTACATCTAGTCATTTAAAATTGTGTCTTTCCACCCATTTTCGTTTTTATTTTCAAAACCGTTCGTAAAATATTTTTATTATTTTTAATTTGAATAAATGCTTTATATGGTTGCATTTTTTTCATTGTAACTCTTCGTTAAATATTTAAATTTATTAATTAAAAAACTATCTTTAACATAGCTTGGGAAAATAGCGAAGCATAACCCAAATAAGGCCCAACTAAGCAACACGATCATCACTAGATAAAGGAAGCATGACTACATTCGATTTGAAAACATAAAATATCCCTAGCTGTGTCATCTCATTATCTCCATGTGTTTTCTTCTACGTCTTCATTTGAAATTTTACTCAGATTAGTAAAAGTACTTTTTCTAACTGGTTCCACATAAACATGACTCCTCCTTACTCAATTTGCACTAGAGCCAGTAGAATCGGACTACCGAAGCTAATTAAGACCAAAGAGTAGTTGGATTTGAGTCTTAAACTTGTGTGCTACTAGTAAACCACTTCTTGTAAATTCTTAATATAATGAAAGAAATACTTCTAAATGGTTCCCACATAGACCTGAGTCCTCCTTACTCAATCAGCAAAAAGATAGAGAGCAAAAGTGGAACAATTGGAGAAATTGTTGAAACAATGTGTCTTCCATTTTACTTACTATAGCAAGTTTATGCTACTAGACGCTATTATTTTCAACGTTTTTACATACTTGAGTTTGTAAAAGTAAAATAGCAACATATATTATGTGGTTAGTGAATGGAGGAGAAAGTATGATGGTGACAGAAAACAACAAAAGGTCAAAAGCTATATCCAAAAATGGATAAAGAAGCTCTTAAGCGCGTTAGGGTACTTACCTTGGAAAAAGTTGACAAATAAAGGAAAAAGCAGAGCAAGTTGAATCATCTCTCGGCTATATAAACAGAGACATGAGACACAACACAAATCACTACAAGAACAAACAGAGCAAGAGATTCAATAGCAAAACTTACATTCTTTCAGAAAATGGGGATCGTAGCATTCAGCTGGGGGGGAGAGTGTATCAACAACCATCTGACACTTCTGATGAACCGAGACAACTGGGAGAACAGGCAAGTTTAATATTCGTTCGACGTTTTTGGTTTTAATTTTGTGGGCATCAGACATTGTTGTTGAATACTTTTTTGATGTTTTTTTTTTCTTTCTCTATATGAGCGATTGATAGGGTCATAAGTGGGGCATCTTGGGATTGGAACGACCAGATTTTGAGTGGTCGGTGCATAGATAACGACGGGACGTGGTTTGGTATTTCTAAACGAGGCCGAGTCGCTTTTCTCGTGAATACATCGTTGTTGTTAGACCGCGTTGAGGCAAACGGCGGCTCGGAGTTGTATCCCGTTCGTTTCTTGGAGGTTTGGCTTTTTAGATTTTCTTCTCTTCATTTATACCCAAACTCTTTCGATCGATCTCTTTGAACACGGGG